CAGTCCAGCTCCCTGCCAATCAGGCTTCTCGGCCCGATAAAACGGTTAATTTTCTTATTAGAACAATTTTACTTATAAAACCTTTTTGTTTAATATTTTTTAACCAATTTTTTGCAGAAATATCTTGAATGGTAATTTAGATTTAGCAAAATTAAATTATATTTGTATAGAACAATTTTAAATGCATGTTTACATTAATAGGATTGATTGAAAAAGATCTGGATAGTTATTTGACGAGAAAAATTACTAGTATAACCTTTTCATTTATTTATCATTGAAACATTTTTTTCCTTTGCTTACAAAAATTATCTTGATGGAAATTCACTAAAATCGGAATTAACATACAAAAATCATATTGTATTTGGATCGAATCGTTTAAAATTTATGCAATAATATGAAATAAATAGCTAGTTTACCAATGAGAATTTCACTAATAAAAACTTTCGATTTAATATTAATAGAAAAAAGTTTTTATTTATTTAGGGTAAACTAACCAGTGAAGGAAAACTTAAGCTTCTCTTGCCTTTTAAAAAATCATATTAATTTCAAAATTCGTAATTTTAGTTAAATGACAGTGTCAACATATTTGTTACTAATTGCAAATTATGTAAAAAAATTGTAGAGAACTTACATAATATTGTTTTAAAGTTTTGGAGGTTCAAATAACAAGTAGTAAGAAGACCAAGTGAAGGAACAGCTCTTACCAGTGAATGAACACCCAGTAAAGGAACACTTAATTTTGGTTATTTTTTAATGCTCTTTATGAATTTATAAGCCATACAAATATTTAAAAACAAGCCTATTCTTGAAATTATAACATATAAATACTTGGAAAATGTTAACTTTTTTTTGTAATCATGAATTGAAAATTAAAGTGTCAACATATTAACACATACTGTTCATTCACTGGGAAATCTATGCCCAGTAAAGGAACATGCCTGTTCCCTCACTGGTTAGAAGTTGTTTTTCGTATTTTTAACATACTTTTGATGCGGAACATCACTAAAGGTACAAGAAAATTAAAGTTTATCTTTTATTTTCATTAACTTAGAAAAAAAAACAGTAAAGGAACACTTGTTCCTTCACTGGTTTTTCATCGTTTGGTGATCCAGTGAATAAACACCCCCTTATCTCAGTACTTTATTATGCTATGATGCTTAAAAAAAATAAAACGTAACTTCAATAACTATATTTTGAATTCTCTTTTTCACAGTGAGAAAAATAAAACTATTACATGCAATTAATTCCACTTCAAACATATAAATACAAACACTCACCTTATAATTTTTTCAAAGAAACAAGGTGTTGCAGAGATAATAACAAATTCAAAAATTTTTCCAGAGAAGTCTATTTGACCAGGTAATCCAAAACATTGCTAGATGACTTCCTATTGTTTGGCAGTAAGCTATTGTTACCAATCAATCTAAAGAAAAACTTTCAAATTCCTATTTTTAATCAATATACAATGAAATGTTCCTTCACTTGTTGGTTTACCCTATATATTATTTTTTTTACAGAATTTTGTGGAATTGGAATTTAATAACTCGAAATTGATACAAATTTCGTTTGTCCTTGGATTGACTTGTCATAAATTTATATCACCGTAAGAAATGATATGGTTAATTTCCTAATAAGGAAAATTCTAATAATAAAACTTTTATGTTTGACATTTTCAATTTTACAGAAATTACTGGAATGATTGCTTAATTGGTTAACTCGAAATCGAAAACACAGAAGTTCAATTGAGTATTGAAATATTCTAGTTTTTACCATCATAACAAATGAACTATTTATTTTTCCTTACATAGATAACTATAACAAAAAAACTTCTTTTGTTTTACATTTTTTAAAAAATTTTTTTTCTCCAAAAAATACTGGAATGATCGATTAATTTATTTACTCGAAATTGAACACATGGAAATTCAATTGTGTATTGAAATATTTTCATCGACACAAACGTAACAAATGAACTAGTTATTTTTCCTTGTATAGACAATTCTAATAATTGAAATTCGTTTGATTAACATTTTTGATTAATTTTTTGCAAAGATTACTGGAATTTTTGATTAATTGGTTAACTCGAAATAGGCACATGAAAGTTAAGTTGTATACTGAAATATTTAAAATTTATGCCAAAGTAAGAAATGCTCTAGTTATTTTTCGTATATGAAAAATTCTAACAATAAGACTATTTTATTTAACGTTTTCGAATCAATTTTTCCCAGATATAACTGAAATAATTGATAATTTGCTAACTTGGAATCGATACTCAAAATTTCCACTGAATTTATATCGAAATATTTTAAATTTATACCAATTTAAGAAATAAACTGGTTAACTTCCTTATGAAGAAGCTCAAATAATATAATTAATTTAATTTTTTTAGTCAATTTTTAAGATAAATTACTAAAATGACTGATAATTGGCAAAATAATAATAAAAAAAAACCCTTAAAAAGTTCAATTGTATTTGTATAAAATTGTTTTAAATCCATGCCAGCATAAGAATTGATTAGGTGAGTTATCTGATGAGGAAAAATTTGATAGTTTTGATAGAAATTTATTTTTACAAAATTTATCTGAATGTAAATTTATTAACTCGGAATTAATGCAAGAAGTTTTATTGTACTTGGACAAGTTTTTCTGACCAGTTTTCTGATGAGAAAAATTAACTTATAAAATTTTTCCATTTTAAATTTCAGAACCAACATTTCACAGAAATTACTGAAATCATATTTAATAACTAGAAACCGACACATTAAAGTTTGTTTGTATTTGGATTGAATTGTCAATGGTAGGTTATAATGAAAAGGTTAATTTTCTTAGAAGATAAATTTTACCAAATTATACCAATTTAAGAAATAAACTGATTAACTTCCTTATAAAGAAAATCCAATAATATAATTAATTTAATTTTTTTAGTCAATTTTTTAAGAGAAATTACTAAAATGACTGATAATTGGCAAAATAATAATTAAAAAAATCCTTAAAAAAGTTTAATTGTATTTGTATAAAATTGTTTTAAATCCATGCCAGCATAAGAATTGAACAGGTGAGTTATCTGATGAGAAAAAACTTGATAGTTCTGATAGAAATTTATTTTTACAAAATTTATCTGAATGGAAATTTATTAACTCGGAATTAATGCAAAAAGTTTTATTGTACTTGGGCAAGTTTTTCTGACCAGTTTTCTGATGAGAAAAGTTCACTTATAAAATTTATCTATTTTAAATTTCAGAACCAACATTTCACAGAAATTACTGACATCATATTTAATAACTAGAAACAGACACATTAAAGTTCGTTTGTATTTGGATTGAATTGTCAATGGTAGGTTATAATGAAAAGGTCAATTTTCTTAGAAGATAAATTTTGCCAATAAAACCTTTTTGTTTAACATTTTCGACAATTTCTTCACACAGAATCCTGGAGTGGTGATACTAACTCGAAACTAATGCAATAAAGTTCGTGTTTCATCTGATTGAATTCTTTTAATTTATACCAACGTAAAAGATGAACAGGTTGATTTTTCTTAACTAATAAAACTTTTTTGTATAGCATTTTCGAGGCAATTTTTAACAAAAATTACAGGAATGATAATCGACTAACTCGAAATTGACACACTAAATTTTATTTGTATTGAACTGTATTAAATTAATACCAACTTAAGAAATGAACAGGACAGTTATTTGTCAAAGAAATAATATAATATTAAGAACTTTTTGTTTAACACCATAGAGCCATTTTTTTTTACAAAGGAAAATGAATTAAAATTTGCTGAGTAGAAATTGTTGGGAAAAAAAGTTTTATCGCAGAATGAACTGTGAATTATTGAACTGTTAATAATTTATTATTCGTTTCTGAAGTAAAAAATTCCATTCGCGCCATTTCTCACAGAATTTTAGAATTTTCTGTTCCATTCTCACAAAAATGTTCAAAATGAGCATTATATTTTCACATTTTATAACCGTCGTTGAACAGCCGAGTTAATTTAGGGTATACGACTACCAATGTTCAACTCCGTAGCCTTGTAAATGTGACCCCGACGCAGAAGACTAAAGAACTTCTGAATCAAGTATTGGGAGAAGTTTGCCTTCGGGGAGGACTTTTTGATGGAACTAACCCGCATCCGCGTTACATGGAGAAGAAAACGACGATTACTCTGAAGACAAGTGTACTCCAACCCATGTTCCGTCTACCATTGAGGATATTTTACGTCAGCACTGAGGTCGGTGCAAATCGGGAGCGAAATTCGTATCGACCAGCCATCGCTGATGCTCGAACCCGGGTCCTTGGGAGGCGAGAATTTTATCCCCTGGGCCATCATGGTTCAAGAAGAGTAATTGTGAATTTTAACAAATATTATACGTAAATTAAACGCATAAAAATTTGTACCAGTTTTTTACAGGAATTACTGGAATCGGCTAACTCGAAATTCACACACAAAAGTATGTCAAAAATATTTTTTCAATTCAACTTTCCAGAACAAACTTTTTACAGAAATCAGCGGATTAGCAATTTTCTATATCGAAATTCAAGCACAATTTCAATTGTGCTAAAAATAAAAAAAATTATAATTTCAAATATTCTTCGTAATTTAAGTAATTATCTAATTTTATCATCTACGATTTTACCTAAAACTTAGCAGAAAAAAGTGTGTGTACGTGACCGTACAATTCGGTGCAGGTCCGCATTCAATAAAAGAAATAAAAATACCGCAAAAAAATTACATGATCTGGCCATCACGATTCTGAACATACTGTTATGATTGCATTTGCATTGTAGTCGAAGCATTGCTATTTGATCCTTATTATTGCAAAAAGCTGCCATAAACCTAATCTCTTAGATACGAGTAGTTTTTTTTATGAGCATTCTTCCTCGTAACCATAAAATTCAATATGGGTTATAAAAAACAGCTTAATCGTGTGACTTGGGGTGTGGATTAGTTAATCGCTCAATTTGTTTAATCAGATTGATAAGTGATAGTCTTCACTGGGCCTTTATAAGGAGAATCGAGAACTACCATCATTCAGTTTCTGAATAGGACTCCTTTCCAAAATGCAAGCAATAGCGATACTCGTAGTTGCCCTAGGGGTTCTATATTGTGATGTTAAAGGTAATATCATTTATCTCTATACATTAGTTCTATATATATAAGTTCTATTTCAATTATTTCTTTTCTTTCTAATTCTAACTAGAGAAATCAATAGTTGAAATGTTTGACTCCAACTTCAACTTATGTTCCATTAAAACTTAAAAATTAATTAAACAATTCTAGCTTGAGTGGAGGAGTTGGTACTTGAAATATTTGACTCCTACTTCAACTTCGACTTATGTTTTATTAAAATTCTAAATGAATCCCACGAAAGAATTAATACTATTTACTAAGTGAATAATAATTTGAAATTAGATATTTCTATTTTCTTTTATGTACGATTAAAATTAAAGGTATTTTATTTAAAATTAAATTTTCGACTTCAACTTTGATTATATTCTATTAAAACTTAAAAATAAATTAAACGATTCTAACTGGAGTTGAGGAGTTGGAACTTGAAATGTATGACTCCTACTTCAACTTTGACTTACGTTTTATTAAAATTCTAATTGAATCCTACGAAAGAATTAATGCTATTTACTTAGTAAATGTTAGTCTGAAATTAGATATTTCCTTTTTTTGTGTGCGATTAAAATTAAAGGTATTTTATTTAAAATTACATCTCGTATTTTGATATAATTGATTTTTTGACAAGTAATGAATTTAATTACTGAAATAAAATAATTTTGTATTAAAGTATAATTTAATGAATGTGATAATATTTATTCCAGTAACATTTCTGTTCAAATAATTACAAACATTTTTCTAAGCAATTTTCATAAGATCAAAGACTTCTTTATTTTCATCCTGCTGAATCTAACCGTTAACTAATAGGAGTCGAAGTTGTGAAAGTTTTTTTAACTCCGACTTCTGCAAAATTGTTTCCGACTCCAAAACCCCTGCCCTAACTAGATTATAAGTTTCTGAGTAGAATTGATTTCATTTCTTTTACTCATGTATTTATTTATTAAATTTAAATCTAAAAACAGTGGTAGTAAGCAGTGGCAGTTTAGAGATGCAATAATAAAAATAATAATTTAACTGTAGAAAATTTTTTGCCTTAATTATTTTGGAATGTATCAGAGATAGAGAGAGATACCGGGTTAAGATTTAAAGTTTTACCAAGAGTTATAACTTTAATTGAATGTCATTAAATTTCTGACATTGATTGATTCACTTTTTAAAATCCCTTCAGTAGTACATTTACTTTTTTCAGACAGTCACAACACCAAGTTTATTCAGGGAATTTTTTTCCCTTTTGCATTAGGTTAAAGCTCGTTTGAATTACAACTTTATCATACGTAGATGGTTTAATATCAGACACATTTCATAGAGCAGTTTAATTTTCGTATCCTTGAGAATTTAATTAAATTCGTTTTTTAATCTTGAGTCTGAAGCAATGTAACGACATCCCAATTAAACCCAAACTAACTTTTCATTATCCTTACACCTGAAATTTCTGAACAACCTCATAGCTAAGCATCTAAAACTTATAATCAGCTTCAAATTAAAACTCGGGAAAATCCTGATCAGTCATTAAAAACTTTAGACTTTTGATCAGACACCAGTTGAAAACTTGTGCAATGTTCTTGCAATCCGTTTTGAGCAAAAATATCGATGCCTTTAAAATGTCTTCAGAACACAAGGTAGAAAAGGTTTCGAGAACTTATTATTTTACCATTTCATGAAAGAGAACACGATTGGTTAGTTTAATGGCACAAGTGTCGGAAGTTGCACGAAACGCAAACGCATGCTATTATGAATTCAATCTCACCAGATAAAATAGTTTTATAAACTAAATTTGCCCATTACCAAGAAAAAAAAGATTAAAAATCACAAGGGTACATTGAGGAAAGGGGCTATTATTTACCTGAAGAAGGTTATCCTCTAGGAGGTCAATTGCCAACTGAGGAACTGACTTCGATTGTGAAGTGGCAAATCACGAACGCCATAAAAGCAATTTAGATGAAACAAGTAATTTATCGTTGTAATTATTCACACTGCATTAATCTAGTTACCATTCTTTGGATACCAAGATGGTTTTGGTCACAAAAAATTTTGTGATTTTGATGCTAGACATACTTGGTTTTGGAAGCAACCCTCCTTAGTAATTTATAAAGTTGGTTTGAAAAAGATATTTAAGAGAATGAGTAAAAATATTTTCAGGATACTTTAATTTAGCGATTAACTTTTCCGAAATATTTCACATAATTGTTTCCGCTATTCCCATACAATTTAAAGCTGGTTTTCTGTAATGTTCTTCAATTAAGAATGAGATTTTTTGGCAAGTACTATTTTTCATGCTTATTAACTATTTAAAGTGCCTCTTTTCTATTTATTCCGCAATCATTGAAAAATAATTAATGTTCGATTAATCATTTCAGCTCAAGACTTGGGAGGAGGAGGAGGTAACCTTGGAGGTGGAGGAAATTTAGGAGGAGGTGGAAATATGGGAGGGCCAGGAAATATGGGAGGATCTGGAAATTTAGGTGGCAGTGGAAATATGGGAGGACCTGGAAATATGGGAGGATCTGGAAATTTAGGTGGCAATGGAGGTCTTGGTGGCAACGGAGGAAATATGGGCGGACTTGGTGGTCAAGGAGGAAATATGGGAGGACTTGGTGGCCAAGGAGGAAATATGGGCGGACTTGGTGGTCAAGGAGGAAATATGGGAGGACTTGGTGGCCAAGGAGGAAACATGGGTGGACAAGGAGGAAACATGGGAGGACTTGGTGGACAAGGAGGAAACATGGGAGGACTGGGTGGCAACGGCGGAAACATGGGAGGTCTCGGTGGTAACGGAGGAAACATGGGTGGACTTGGTGGACAAGGAGGGAACATGGGAGGACTTGGTGGACAAGGAGGAAACATGGGAGGACTTGGTGGACAAGGAGGAAACATGGGAGGACTTGGTGGCAACGGAGGTAACATGGGGGGACTTGGTGGACAAGGAGGAAATATGGGAGGACTTGGTGGACAAGGAGGAAACATGGGAGGACTTGGTGGCAACGGAGGAAATATGGGTGGACTTGGTGGCCAAGGAGGAAACATGGGAGGACTTGGTGGCCAAGGAGGAAACATGGGAGGACTAGGTGGCAACGGCGGAAACATGGGAGGTCTCGGTGGTAACGGAGGGAACATGGGGGGACTTGGTGGACAAGGAGGGAACATGGGAGGACTTGGTGGACAAGGAGGAAATATGGGAGGACTTGGTGGACAAGGTGGAAACATGGGAGGACTTGGTGGCAACGGAGGTAACATGGGAGGATTTGGTGGCCAAGGAGGAAATATGGGTGGACTCGGAGGCAACATGGGAGGACTTGGTGGACAAGGAGGAAATATGGGAGGACTTGGTGGCCAAGGAGGAAACATGGGAGGACTTGGTGGCAATGGAGGAAACATGGGAGGACTCGGTGGAAATATGGGAGGTGAGTATTTAGATTTCTATAATATAATATGCGTTTAACATAGTATACTATTATTTCGAAACTTATTTTGACTGAATCCAACATAATATATAATATCACATAAATAATGTTAAAATGCTTTTTAATTCTTTTACAATTAAAAAGTTTAGATTGTAAAATCTTAATACAAATTAAAACTTATTGTATAAATTACATTTTGTTAGTTGAAATAATCTTGATAATTATTAATAGGTTTTTCAGAAATAATGGGTTAAAATATAAAAGTGAGTAAATCTTTGTCAAAGAAAACTGCAATTTTCTTTAATGAAACTTCACCCTTAACTACGATTTGTTTTGAATATGCTTGCATCAGGTGTTAGATATTTTTTTTAGAACTGATGGAAACGTATACTGCATAGCTTACATTCAGCAGCGAATGTTAAATTTATATATAAATTATTATATTAGAAAATTGCAATTTTTCTCAATGAAATGTTTTTATAGGTGGAATTCATCAAGCACAGTGAATAACATAAAGTTTTTTGCAATTTCACGCTTACGAAGAATGTATTTTATCAATTCTATCACAAGCAGCGAAAGCTAAATTAGTGGCATGAGTATACGAAATTTGTCCTTAAATTTTTTAAACAGCTATGCATATACAGCGTGTCCATGGAAGTTCATATACAGCTTCCACACTTTACAGCGTCACCTAGTACCATCATCGACTTAGTACGAGTTGACACATTTTGTGACAATGGTAAGAAAAAGACCCTTAAGTATGCTTGTTCGTGGTTTTCTACATTGAGAAGTAACGAAATGATCTAGAAAGGAAAGAAGAAAAAAACTAGTTATCGTAATATATTTTCATTATTGATGCACTAAGCTTAAGAAAAGTTTGGAGTTCGAAATACAGCCATATTATATAAAATAAATTATCTATAAATATATTCATTCTTATAATCAATGATTTTAAATTATTTGAATTTTTAGATGTTAATATATCAATAAGTTTCTTAATTAAAAATCGATTATTTAAAAAAACTTTTCCTTTCTGCAACTCCTATAATCCTTCGACAAACGTTTTATTCCAAAATTAAGTAAGAAAACTTTAATCAAGAGACATTGTATAATTTCATTGTTATTATTTATTTAAATTATTTAGTTAAATATCTTTTATGTAGGAAATGTATAACATTAAATAGTTTTATTCGTAAACATTCTTGTAATTCCAGATTGCTATAAATTTTTTTGTTATTCTTTTTTTTAGGACTTAATGGTGGAAATATGGGATCTGGTGATTTAGGAGGTAAGAATACTCTCTTGCAATCATAAATATTCTTCGCACTAAAGCAATTGAAATTTTATGAAACTGTCTAACTATATTTAAGAGAAGAGCTTACTGTGAAGCAATGAAAAGTCAAAAGAAAAAAAATACTGATATTTTGTTTCAAAAAGTCCCAAAAAGAAGGAAAAACTCAAAAATTCGGTACAAATTTGTAGTATTTTTTATTACTTATTTTTATTAGGTTGAGGGGTGATATTCAACTGAAATGAATGAAAAATAGCCCTTATATACTAACAAGTCTTCGATTTAATAAGGTAACTTGTTAATATATTTCTCGCTTAACTAACTTTCGCCAATTAAACAGAAAAAAATTATTTGTCTTGAGATTGTTTAAACAATTTAAATGTTCGATAACACTCGCTAATATTAATAAGAGTTAGAGAAAATATTTAAATTTTATAGGACAATTATGGTAAATTTTTGTAGATGTAATTAAACAACACTGAACTTGAAAAGTTTCTATTAACCTTCAGTTTTGATATATTCACCCTTAATTAAGTAAAAGTTGATCTTAAAAAAATAACAATACTTCATATTTTATGTTCATGTCTTAAATAAATTGTGATAATCGTCTCAAACAAATCCGCAAAGGTGATACTGATCTGTTGATATGATAGCTATTATTTTTTCTGAAACGTTCTTTGAAATATATATATTTTTAATATTTGTGGCTTAATACCGGGTGTTCATCAAATGACCGACTATTTGAAAAATCAATAAAAGAAAAACGGAAGGAGAACGAAAAGTATAGTTGGCTGCTTTCTGCTTGTAAAAGATTTTTTTCTTCTTACCAAGTTTCTAAAATAAACACAAAATGTGTTAACAGATGGCGATACTAACTCTGAAAAATTATAAAACAATATTATCCAATTAGCCACACAGTCTGACACAAAGCTGATGGACGCTCGTGCAAGTATTTAAGTTAAAATGGACTGAATAAGTAGAAAACATTGTTTCGAGATTTTTTTCTAGCCAACAGAGCCCTCTGCTGATGAGTTTTCTTATTAATTCGCAAATTTGGTTTTAAAATATTCCTAGTTTGATAAGTTGAATGCAGCAGACTTTTCATTTCTATCACCATCAATTTTTTTAAAAAAAAATTGATTTTCCGAACAGCCGGTCATTTTTGGAAGGTCCAGTAATTATTTATAACTAGACTTCTTTTTAAAAATGTTTAGGTGGAAACATGGGTGGACTAAGTGGAGGAGACTTAGGTGGTAAGAATTTATTTTATTTTCTAAATTGTTTAAACTCCGTATGTAGATTAAAAAAAAAAAAATTCTTTCACCTAGTCGTCTGAATCGTCTATTTAAGAAACGTTCGAAGTTGAAATAAGCAAAGAAATGGCTTTTTTGGAATGGTTTACAGATTTTTTACATTCATCCATCCAAAAACATTTCATTTACACAAAAGATTTACCCATCGTATTAATTAAAATCCGGTGTTCATTGGGATTCTCGTGATATGTAGGGTTTAGGTTAACAAAAGCCACATTTTCGATTTGCTCAGCTGAACGTTTTTTAGGAACATCTTTTAGGGAGAAAATATCGCAGTTTTATATACGTGAGATTTTTATATAGCGAGATGATTATTTTACTAAATCTATAAAAAAAAAGTCTATTAAAAATTAAGCAGTAAAACTGGCATTGGACTAAATTAAGGCGTTTTTATTTGTTTAGATATTACTTTAAAAAATCAGGACAGAACTTTTAATTTTCAAAATATGCGCGATTAAATTTTTAAAATATTATGATAGAAATTATAATTGGATGCTACTAAATCTCAAATGTTTTCTACTTCTTGTCTTTTGTTCTGCACATTGACTAATCCCATGCTTTACAAGTGAATATCCAATCAGAACCTGTTTTAAAAAAATGTAGTTGGCCGTAGAGACCACACTTCTAATAATCACTATTTTATGCACTCGCATTTAAAAATAGTTTATAAGTTTAAGTACTCTAAAAAACGCTTGATTAACTTCGATTGGGGTAAAAGGAACTATATCAATCAGTTATTAAAAAAATCTACTTCTTTAAGATGGTGTACTGATAACATTATTGTAAAGTAGAACTTTTACTAAAGTGAAAAAAATTCTATATGGTTTCAATTATATGAAACAGCAGAGAGAATATGTGGCACAAGATAGTTAAGTAAAATTCATTACCGTTCATGAATTTCAATATTAAAATTAATTTTTTTTCCTTGCCCAATTCTTATATTTTATTGTACCATAAACAGAAGCAAGACTCTTTAATAAAATTTTTTACAATATAACATTTATATCCATTGTAACTTATTGAACCAATTAAAAATAATACGTTATTTAAAAAATTAAGTAGAGCTATGGTTTAATTCAGTTATTGCAATATAATATATATGTTTAGAAACTTATCTATGGAAATATGGATTTTATTTCTGCACAATAAGTATTCATGAATATATATTAAATGCAAATTTTTATATCTAGAATTATTGAGTTACGAATATCTTATATTTCTTTACTATTTCTTCTTCTAGGAAACATGGGTGGAATGAACGGTGGAAACATGGGTGGATTGAACGGTGGAAACATGGGTGGATTGAACGGTGGAAACATGGGTGGGGGACTGAATGGTGGAAACATGGGTGGATTGAACGGTGGAAACATGGGTGGTGGACTGAATGGTGGGAACATGGGTGGACTGAATGGTGGAAACATGGGAGGATTGAACGGTGGGAACATGGGTGGACTCGATGGATTTGGAGATATGGGTGGTAAGAATTCAGTTTGCATTCGTATTATTTAAAATTTTATTTATGCATCTAAAAGTAGTATTTATTTAAACAATGTACTTAGTTGTGAAAAGTAAAAACGTTTTTGAAGAAAAAGCTGAGGGATAAAAATAAAATTCATTAGATAGAACACCATATAAAGCAAAGTCAACTATATAAAATGTATTTTTATATGCTGTAATAACATTAAAAGAAGCTATTCTTGGTATTAGCATTTACAATAATCATTGAAAGGCCAAACATCGTCGGCCAAACATCGCCGCGGGTTCTCTGATTTTCAAGTTCATTAAGCATTGGATTCTTTGGTGCAAAGCATCCGTCAACTAAATGATTTAGCAGATGGAATCTAATGAATCGGAAAACCTTAGATTTGAAGCGAAGAATAATAACGGAAACATTTAAATCTTCAAAAATTAAAAGTCATATATTTTAATGAATTGAGCAGCTTAATTCCTTCATGAATTGAAAAACTCATTAATTCAATAAATTGAAGACTTTAATATCTTAATGAACTGATGAACTTAATACCTTAGGAATCGAAAAGCTTAAAATCTTAATAAAATGCAGAGCTTAGAATCTTAATGAATTAAAGAGATTAAAATATCGATGAATTGAAGAGCTTCGTATCTTAATATCTAGGGGAATTGAGAAGTTTAGGGAAAGGAACATATTGAGTGACAATTTAGAGAATGTCAAAAAATCAACTTCTGAAACACCAGAAAACTATTTTAAAAAAAACTGCTCAGCTTCTAATTGAGATTCTCATGAATTTAGTAGAATCGAGATTCATAAATGTACGCTACTTACTGTCGAAAAATACACAAAACGTGGAAGTAAACTTACACACAAGTATTTCCGGTAAAACTATCATCGTTTTCCATTCGAATATAATGCATAATTATAAAATTAAAAGAGGCAAGTGAGATTTCATTAAAATATTTTAAAATATGTGCTTTTTTAAAAAAATCAAACCGTTTTACCGTTCTTGCATTCAATTTAGAATATTTAAAATTAAGTTCAGGAAGCGAAAACATATAACTTTGGTTCATTGTCTACAATTAGTTTCAAAGCGCTGATTTATATATTAATACATCTCTCACTAATCTTATTATTATTTTAAATAGGTACAGTTATTTTTTTCAATCCTTCGTCTTAGTCTAAAATAATCTTAATTTTCTAAAATATTATTTATGTGCCATGAAATTCACTTATTATTGTCTGAACTATTTTTATGCTTCTCATTTCAGGAAATGGTGGAAACATGGGAGGATTAAATGGTGGAAACATGGGTGGACTGAGTGGTGGAAACATGGGTGGATTGAGTGGTGGAAACATGGGTGGATTGAACGGTGGAAACATGGGTGGATTGAACGGTGGAAACATGGGTGGATTGAATGGTGGAGACATGGGAGGTAAGAATATAAATTTATATCTTATAACGTATTTTAAATGTATGTATCTGAAAGTAATCTGCATTCAATGAGTCAATGAAATACGTAATTGTTCAAGAATTGTGTACAATTCAGGAAAAATGTTCGGTATTTTTCAAAAGCTTTTCATTCATACATTGCTTCAAAACCAAAATCTTTTTAAACTTCTGTGTTTTTCAAGTTGTGGTATAAAACAAAGCCATATTTTCACTATGCTATATGTCGTAATAGTACTCGAAATCATCAATGCCTATAAACTACCTCTTGTATTTCTATACTGTCTACAATTATATAATTCTTTAATAGTTTTATTTAATATGCATTTTAATAGAAAAAAAAACAACTTTCAAATGACCATCAATCAATACTTTACAAGAAAAAAGTAATTTTAATACACTTAAATCACTCGATTATATACCTAGCAGTTAAATAACTGATTAACAGTTAGAATCATTCTTTTAAAACTTACTAAACTAGCGTATAATTTTTTCTAAAAGTTATAATTACCTGAATTACTTTTTTATTTGTACGTGGCTTACAGCAAGATGAATTACAACATGATGGTTTAGGAAGCAAAACTATAGTTATTTCAGTTAGTATTTATACCAATTAGTATAGTAAGTATACAAGTTATACCAATTATTATACAGAGTTTATACTAATTAGTGAGTATTATTAACATTTAAAGACGCCTTAATCAAACCATAAATCTACACAAAGAGGAAATTCATTTAATGATGAACTTAACATCAAAATTAATATTTATAATGATGCTCTGATTATGTTTTAAAATTATGTTTTAGTTTTTCTGACCAACTTAATTGCTAAACTTAAATTTCACTTCATAGGTGGTTTCCAACAAGGTGGACTAGGAGGTAAGAATATTATGCTCTCAGGATTTGAAACTTTCTTCTTACTTTTCTGCAAATTTTATCATTAAATAAATTATTAAATAGATAATCATAAACAATTATAAGTAATAATTTATAATTTCATTACTAATTTATATAAATAAAAATAAATAATTACAAAAAAACGCAGCAGTGGTACAAATATTGTCAATATTTAATAATATTCTTACTTTAGACTCTTAGAAATTAAAAAGTACCAAATTAATATTCAATATCATACTTTCATAGTTTTCTAAAACAAGTAACAGATTAACATTTAGTATCATTTAGTATCATAGTTCGTTGAAGCCATTTAAGTTTTCCTAAACAGTTTAATCTCTTTTTTGTGGGTGGTTTACAACAAGGTGGTTTGCAACAAGGTGGCTTGCAACAAGGTGGCTTGCAACAAGGTGGCTTGCAACAAGGTGGTTTGGGAGGTAAATATATTTAAATTTCGATGATTTTTTCTGAATGTTTTCTTAAAAAATCACAGTTTATGCTATTATAGTTATTAAACGTTTTATTACATTCATTAAATTATTAATCTATAATTCTATATATAAATGCAATTAACCTATAAACTAAAAAAACTGAGGAACAAATCTAAAATTCATAATGATATTTTGATTCACTTTTAAAAATATGTTCAAAATTTTCTTAAAATCAATTTTAATTACTTGCGTTTCTTGTAGGTGGTTTCCAACAAGGTGGTCTAGGTAAGAATTCTATAATAAATTAATATTCCTCATTATGATTCGATCATATTTTAAAAATACGTTTTTATTTTTCTAATAAGTTCAATTCATTCACTTCATTTTTTTATAAGTGGTAAGAATTCTATATTATTTTTAGATTTTGAAACTTATTTTCCTCCTCCTTCCTTAAAATTAAGAACCACGAATTATGTAACAACAAGAAATAAAAATGTATATGGATTCATTATGGATATTTCTAAACTTAACCCTCCCGGGAACAGTAAATTTTGATTGAAAATTTTAATCAAGCAATTCATTTACTACTGCGACCTTAGACAATAGATTCTAAGTGAAGAAACATGCTTCAGATCCTTGCTTTTTAAGAATAGTGGTTGATAAACGTTTAAAATCAACTAATTTTTAGTTGTTATTATTGCACTGCTATTTATTTGCTATTTATTATTATTACGCATTATTACCACACTTCATGGAAAAGGGTTAATATTGTTAGAAATTTAAAGATAACTCTTTAAAAACGTTCTAACATTTCAGATTTTATAAGACGTTTCATAATTCTTCTTTTGCAGGTGGTATGCAACAAGGTGGTTTACAACAAGGTGGATTAGGAGGTGAAGATTGTATTTATTATAAAAGTAGTTTTTTAAACTTTTCTGAAGAAATTTAATGACTTGATAACCTATAGTAATTGTTAGAAATAGGATTAGAATACAACTTTGATACTTTTATTTTAAAGAAGTCAATCTATTTCTTGTTATGAAGATTTTGATATGAAGATACAACTTTGATACTTCTATTTTAAAGAAGTCAATCTTCTTGTTATGAAGCATTATGTAATTGTAATAACTCAATTCATTTCTTTTTTACAGGTGGTTTCCAACCAAATGATCTAGGAGGTAAAAACGCACACATTTTATTCTTGAAATTTTATTAATGATTTTTTGTATGAAATAAAATCCTTAATGACTTCTAAGTTAACTATTGGAGAAAAAAAACTTATTTCCTTTACATAAAGCTCAACTTTTTTAATAAAGTACTTAAATGTTATTAAAAAGCAATAAGTTGATAAAAAAAATAAAACAAAGTTTAAAAACTTTTGAAAATATATTTATACAATCACTGTTCTAAAACGTTCAATTAATTTTTATTTGTAAATAGGTGGTTTCCAACAAGGTGGTCAAGGAGGTAAAAATTTTATTTTAATTTCAGGAATTAATTTTTATGATTATTAATATCTACTTATTTATCAATCTACAATTACTGGTGAAAAAAATCTTATTAATTTTATATAAAATTTCAATAACTTAATAATGACTGAATATATTAGTATTCAGATTATAAATTTAATTTTTTGAAAAGTACAGTCAGATTTATATATGCGAATAAAATCGCGCTGTTAAATATTTATATATTACTTGTACATAATTCAAATTCTAATTAAATTCTCAGTATATATTTATATATTTTTTTTCTCAGTATTTTGATTTAAGTTAGGAATACCTCACCTTTTTTGCATAATTTGATTAAATTGATCCCATAGTATTCATAATGCGCTTAGAATGCAACGAAATTTCCCCGAAACAATACCAGGCTGAGACAATAAAAAGTAAGTTGGTCCTTGGTTCGAACCCTGCCGGTAACCAATAAACATCTCTCTCAAGCATTTCTCCCTAAACATGAAAAGGCAAAAATTTATTTTTCTCCAAAAGCAAAATTTTGAAACGGCACACAAACTTGAGGAGCAGGGTTGCAAAAAACCCACCTGCCCAATAAAACCCGCCCGGGTTTTACTGGGTATAACCCACTCTGAAAAACCCGGTAAAATCCACCCTAAAGTGTGTTTTTCTAAGATTGATTTCTTTTTTCATCCTCTGTTATATTAAAGAGCTATTCTATTGAAATATATATGTAATCTAGCCTAAAAAAAATTAACCTACAGTGAAGAAACTAATTGTGTTGGAGACTGGAGAGTCACCTTGCTGGCTAGATTTGACTGTATGGCCATTGATTCGCTTTCTATGCAAATAAAAAAATTTCCCCTAACATTTTTTAAGATTAAAATATAAATAAAAAGTAATCCTGTGTTAAAATAAGTTTCAAATGTGTGACGTATGTGAGTACATATAACATTTTGTATCATGATATATGAAGAAACTTTTTTCAGACTTTCACATCAATTTAATTGTATTAATTATCTATATGAAGTCAATTTATAAATTAAACTTAATTATTAATATTAAAATAAGTTTTTTTAAAATAAGGGACCTATCCCTACCCTCTCTTTTGAAAACCCTCCCATAAAAACATGAAAAACCCAGAAAAGCCCAATAGAACCCAGAAAAGCCCAATAAAACCCAGAAAAACCCACCCGGGTTGGGTTTTTCTACAAAAACCCGGGTTTTTTGCAACCCTGNTTTATCCCCTGAGCCATCTCGAGCAAAAGACAGATATAGGAGAAAGGTATAGGTTTCCTAAAATAATTTCATTCATATCTATAGATAACTCCTCAAACTATCATTAACGGATGTAGGCAGCATTTGAAAATGATATGACTGAATTGTAAGTATTTTAACAGGTGATCAATTAAATTTAATATTTTATTTTTATATAGGTGGTCTTCAACAAGGTGGTCTTGGAGGTAAGAAATTCTTATATTTTTGTTTAGAAACTATTAAAATTCAGAATCACTTTTTGTTTTGAAAACATACTAATTTAATGATTTTTTTAATGTTTAATAATTTCGTGTATTTTTCATTACAGGTGGTTTTCAACCAGGTGACTTAGGAGGTAACTAATTTCAGTTTTTAAATAAAAAGGATTCATCAATGAGCTTTTTCTGGAATAAAACAATTTTATTATTTTTATATTATCATCGGTAATACACTAAAATAATATTTTTAACATAAATTTTCGAACGAGTTCAATATAAATGATAACCTTAGGAAATAATCAAGAAATTATTATTTATAACTGTACAGAACCCGTTATCCAGAAATCAGAAAACCGGAATACCAAAAAACCGGAGCGAAATTCAATAAATTTTCCCGACATTTTTTTAAAAAAAATGTGTTTTTCCTCATAAGATTTCAGGATTTTTCTTTCTTTTTTGAAAGATGTTTACCCTACCATCATTTTGGAAATAATCATTAGTGTATTACTTTATCGTTTTTTCTTCTTTTTAAGATTATTTCCAAACATTATTTTTTCTTAGTTTTCTTTAACAATAAAAAAACGGCTTTTTGTAGCGATTCAGAAAACCGGAAAAATCAGTTATCCGGAATAGCGATGGTCCCGATCGTTCCGGATAATCGGTTCTCTACTGCAATAATTGATAAATATTAGAGAAAAAAAAAGATTTCGTTAGCTAAATAAGGAAATTGAAAAATTCAAGTTGTTCAGATCTCCACATAAAAATTAAATAATCAATATATAACAGCTACTTTGTAAATAATTATAACAATAATTATAACAGTTACTTTGTAAACATATTTAATAAATTTTTATATTTTTCTGTATAGGTGGTTTCCAACAAGGTGGTTTAGGAGGTAAGAATTCTTCGCAGTTTTATTTTTAATATCTTGCCTACTTAAGTTATAACATAACGATATAACATAAACTTGCCTACATAACGCTATCCATTTATGATTCTTAGAAAAAATAGGGTATTTTTATACTTAGGGTATACAATAGGGTACTTAATACAATAGGGTACTTAATGTTTCATTCAACCGTTAAATGAAAAATAGTTAAAAAAAAATGTTTTAATGTTTGAATTATATTTTTTTATGTATTTTTTAAATCTTTTTTTTTTAAATATATATAAATTTTTAAGTGCATTAAATTAGTTTATTTTTATGTTTAGGTGGTTTTCCACAAGGTGGTCAAGGAGGTAAAAATTCCACTCAGTTCAGTTTTAATGTGTATTTTTTATCAAAAAAGTTGGTTAGTCCACTAACTTTTTATCAATTTACTGATTAATTAATTTAAAAAAGAAAGAAAAATTATATAAATTAAAAAAATAAATGTTTCCAGTTCAGAACTTAATCGATTAATGTTCAGAATGAAACATGAATTACTTTTCAAAGCCTTTTCATATTACTTTTTGTAACGAGTACAATTATTTAGATTATTTCTTTATTTTTGTGCGTAAGTTGTGCGGAAATTGAATTTTGATATTTTGTGCGGAAATTGAAAAAATAATTTCTTTGAAATTATTGATTCAATTTCCAAAAAAATTATTCGTTAAAAATTAAAAAAAAATTAGCCAGAAATTAGTAAAAATATTAGTCATGGTTTGTAAAAAAATTGCTTGTACGCTTTTCATAACGAAGTCCATTAACTTGCTGATTAAAGATAAACTTTTTGAAAATTTGCAACTTAACTTTTTCATTAAATTTTATCAATATATAATTTTGTGCAGGTGGTCTTCAACAAGGTGGTCTAGGAGGTAAGAATTCTTGTTTTTTGATTTTAAAACACTCTCTATATTTTTGAAAAATTTCTTAGCCATTAAGGTCTACGCATAAAAATAAAATCTTAGCTTCATTTGCATGAATTTATAAGTTATTTTGATAAAAAAGTGCTATTATGTAAAATTATATCATATAATTCAGATAATAAGCATATAATACATAATAGCACAAAATAGTATATAATAATTAAATATTTTTATAGCATATATGGCATATAGCATATATATAGCATAGCATATATAGCATATATATATAATGCTAATTTAGCAATTTATGGCATAAATGCTATCATATGCTAAAATATAACGTTGGTACGTAGACTTAAATGTTGTATAACCACGTCAACCTATTGATTTTTCTAGTACGTTTAATAAATTTTTTTTCCCTCTCCGTAGGCGGTTTCCAACAAGGCGGTCTTGGAGGTAAGAAACCAAGAATTTTTCGTTTTCGAATTTGTTTTACTTTAAAAAATTAACGAATAGCTACGATTAAAGATGCGAATTTTTTTTTTTAGAAAAGGAACAATTCAATTAACAAATTTAACTATCAAATAAGAAATAATGTTTCAAATTAGTTTTTGATCAATTTTTAAACAAACCTACTATTTCATCTAACACGTCTTAATTTTAACTTATTTTTCTGTGCAGGTGGTTTTCCACAAGGCGGACAAGGAGGTAAACACTTTCTTTCATTTTATTCATTTTTCTTTCATTCTCTTTCGTTTAGAACATTTAAGAAACTTATTATTGTATAGTTACCAGAAAAAAAAGCTCATGGATGGAGTTACTAATAAATTAATTAATATTTACAACGTGTCTCAAAAATATTGCGACAAATGTTTTGATAAAGATAGGAAAATCATAAGGATTGAAAATTGCATATCAGCCAGCGACCGAAAACGTCATTGTATACCACTAGGTGGTGCTCTATACCCCAAGACTGTAAAGGAACTGCAATATACTGTGAGCTGTACTAATAGTTAATGAGCTAGTTCGCTTCTGACTTATTCAACATCGATTTCTTAGTGTGGAGAGAGCTTTTAAACTATTATATACATCGAGCCGTCTAGGGAACAATGGATCTTGTTTCCGCAGCAACTGTCGGTGTGCTGCAGTATCCGGCAATTTATGCCCCAATATTGACTGATGGTGCAAAAATCGCACAGCTGTTGTGGCAATATGAAATGTATTCATCTAGTACACTATCTGCATACATGATCCATTTCTCATTAATCTTTTGATTACGCTGCTTGATTGCACAGGATATTCTGGACCATCAGCTGTACCAGTTGTAAGCAAAAGGCTAACGGCGCTTGATAGCATCAGCAATTCTGGACCATCAGTTTTACCAGCTGTGAGCAAAAGGTTAATCCGACTCTCATGTTCTTTAGGTCATCTTACCCCTGATTTTTTTCGGTCATGGATTGATATTTAATTCTTAATTCTTATCAATGTACTTTCTTTTCCTTGAAAACCTTGTCACAACATTTTATTGACGCTCAGCAAAATTAAACTACACCAGTTTTTTTTAAATGTTCTACATGATCATTAATTCCCTTTACTCTTTTGATTAGGAGGTCTCCAACAAGGTGGTCAAGGAGGTAAAAAAACCCTTTATTTTGAGTGTTTAGTTTCTTTAAAATTTTTCTTAATACACAAGAGCATCATTTATGACACATTTATCCATGATTATCAGAAAAAAATGCAATTGAGTTTATTTCAAATCTCTGAATAATGAATATAAAATTCCATACTGATTTGAGTTTTGCTGTTTTCTCTGCAGGAGGTTTCCAACAAGGCGGTGGACTGGGAGGTAAATATTTCACTAATTGAAATTTTTCTTGTAAAACTGAACGATTTAAATATTTCTAATAAAGCGTTACTCTAAATGCTTTCTATGTAATAACATGTAATTATTTTTGCAGACTTTGGTATTTTAATAATGGTTGGTTGTAACAAAGCAACTACGAAAATAATGTAGATTTCCGTCCACTGATTACAATATCTATTGCTTTCAAATTACGATAAAATATTTATGCAATGAGTTTAAATATAAATTGAGTTGAAAAATAAAATAATGAATTTAAAAATAAAATTTTTTTCTCATTATTATTGCAGATGGGGGAAGAATGCCTAATTTTGGAGGAATGGGAGGAAGTAAGTTGAATTTTGATTCTTCAAGCTTTACTTTTAAACAATGCATGTAACGACTTCCAGACAAATAAAACAACATTTTAATGAAATTTTGTAGTAGTCCTAAAATCCATCTTAGCATTTATGTAATTCATTAACTTCAAGTACAGTTTTATTTTCTGATCATTATAGATGGAGGAGGATTGCCTAGCAACGGAGGCATGGGTGGATTAGGAGGAAGTAAGCTGTTTTTTTTTTAGATAACACGAAATCCAGTTTTAGATTACTGAAACAATTTTTATTAATTAAATTAATAATTATAATTTTATAAGTTTAAAATTATGAATTTTTTTTTAATATTAATGTTCATGTGAAAAGAATTTTCATTTCTTGACTATTTCAGACGGAGGAGGAATGCCTAATTTTGGAGGAATGGGAGGAAGTAAGTTAATTTCTGTTTTATTTAACTTTGTTTTTAGACTTTGATTTTGAAATAAATTAGTTTAAAAAATGTGTCTCTGACTATTTATGTCTGCGCACTTCACTTAACTACAGAGTTTTATTTATTTTTTAATTTTAATTATTTTAGATGGAGGTGGACTACCAAATTACGGAGGAATGGGAGGTTTAGGAGGAAGTAAGATGATCTTTGTTTTTAGATTCTACAAATATTTAGAATATCAAAACTTTTTTTTAGATATAATTTTAGTTCCATAGAATTTTTAATATTTGTACAAATGGTTAGTGAGGACAATGTTTTAATTTTTGATAATTTCAGGCGGAAGAGGAATGCCTAATTTTGGAGGAATGGGAGGACAAGGAGGAAGTATGCCAATTTTTGTTTAGACTATTAAGCTAAAAATATTTTTGGGTGATGGTTTTTACTATATTCTGAACATTTTTTTAAAAATAATTTTTTAGGTGGAGGTGGACTCGAAGGTTCAGGAGGAAGTAATTTAATTTTTAGTTTAACCTTTATCCAACTTAACTATAAAGTAATTTTTTTCATATTGAATTATAGCAGGGGTGGCCAAGCTCCTTGATAGTCGAGCCATTTTTCAAAATTTGAAATTTTTCGCAAGCCGCAATTAAATACGTATTCAAAAGGTATGCAAAAAAGGTATTAAAAATTTCTTTTTTTACAGAAATTATACTTATTGAAAACATATAAATAAAAGTACAAAATATGTGTATTGAACTTAAATATTAAACACATTTATTTTACTTCTTTTGATGATTCTTCAAAATTTGGTGAATAATTGGTGACAGCACTTCTCAGTAATTCTTAAGGTCTGGTTTCTTAGGACAAGCGCCTTATCTGAGCGTCAGCGGGACGTCAACGTCCCGCTGACGCCAACAAAATACTGGTTTGTTAGCTCAAGGCCTGGTTTCTTAGAACTAGCGCCTTATCTGGGCGTCAGCGGAAAGTTGACGTAGAGCTGACGCCATAAAAATACTTTTTTGTTAGCTCAGCGTGAGCAGTCGGTCCAACGCAGACATTATCTCTCATTGCGCATGCGTTAATAGCGTAAACAGATATTTATTTTGAATTTGTATTGATTTTGTTATTGTCGACCAGTGTTTTAGAGAACAAATAATGACTTTGTTCAAGATAAAACACATTATAGTTGAGCTAAATGAAGAGTGCTATGTTTAATGAAGAAGCTATGTTTAATGTCAAAATCAAAATCTTGGCTGATGTCAATGTGCTGTTGGATGTTGTCCGCCATTGCTTCTGTGGTTAACGTCACGCTGTAATCCAACTGCAGTTGAGTTGGACGGCAATTGTAGTTAAAGATGAGCGTTCGATGACGTATACTATCAAACTCACAAATGGACCAATCAGAGGTTAGCGCTGATTTACAGCTGACGGCGTCCTGTCCTAAGAAACCAGGCCTTTAGAGATGCTGGTTAGTTAATACTGATCGGTGTTTGGATTTCACGAATTTTAAAGTGGAATAAAATTATTCACATAAGTAAGCTGTTCCGAATATTGAAATAATTCGACATGCAACCTTTTATAATTCAGGATATTTCGATTCTTTTACAAATTTCCAAAATTTAGTAATCGTCGTCGACTTATATTTTAATTGTAGAGCTTGATCGTTTTGCGTCTCGATTAATTCTAATTCTTCAGATGCTTTTGGGTCATAATTATATTGGAAATGGAAAATTCACCTTGAATTATGTTAATTTCAAGTGGATTCAGAAAAAATATTCAAATATAATAGCACAAAAATGAAAAGGGAACTTGGGTACATATATCGAGAGCCACAAATAATCCTTCAAAGAGCCGCATGTAGCTCGCTAGCCGCGGAGGTTAATTAATTTTTGCCTGATGGCTTGTGACTCCCTGATTTTGTTTTTGTCATTATTTTAGACGCTGGAAGAATGCCTAACTTTGGTGGAAATGGAGGATTAGGTAGAAGTAAGTATTTAATGGTCATTCTAGAAAATATTTTAAATATGATATACTTAAATATTGAGGTAACATTCTCATAGTTTACTTTTTAACATTGATTTTTCTTTCTGAATTTAGCTTTAATGGCAAGTTTATGAAATGCTGCCGACTTTTGACATCTATTCGAAATTTGCGTATTACGTTTTTTAGTTTTTAGCTCTACTTTATACTCCAGATTCAAAACTTCATTACCGCTTGCGTAACTTTTATCATTGATAAAAAATGGTGTGAAAGACAATTATTAGAAACGTTTTTCATTTGGCACTATTAGGCTACAAAATAGAATTTTGTGATTTTAGTGCCTTTTTCACTGACATCGATTACGATTCCTTAAGATTTAACAACGCTTCTTTCTCAGTTAGGCAAATTACCGACCCTTAATGAATATAGAATTTTTGCTTTGAAGGTTAAATCAATACATTGTATGATTTTTTTTATGAGAAACTTCTTTTAAATTGTTATTAATAAATATCAAATTAAAAGTTTTAACATCTATAATTATTTTAGGACTAGGTGGCGGTGATGACCAGGTTGTTACCATGTCGCCAATTGAGATGCCAGGAGGTGATCGAAAACCCATTGGAAACCCAGATTTAGACGGTAAGATCTATAAAATATTTATTTCATTAATCTTATTTAATCTTAATCTTTTTTAATCTTATTTTGATGTACAAGGCTTGAATGGACAATAATGAAAAAAAAATTATAATTATTCTCTGTACAACTTTTTGAGAGTTATTTTAGTACTGATATAGATATGTTATCATTTCTTTTTAATCGGTGTTTCTTCATTGAATAGTTTTTTTTTTGTGTTAAATTTAAATATGGAATCTATTTTGTCAGTATAACTACACTGGTGTAAAAAATTAAGAGAATTTGCAGATTTGTGATCGATTATCTCTAGAACTACTAGACCGAATTTAAGGAAATTTGGTATGTAGATACATTGATACAATACAAAACAATTAAAAATTCAACAATTGTAATACACACTCATGTTCGCGCGTAACATTCGTTGGAGTTGGAAGGTATGAAACAGCCGTTGCAGAATAAACAAAAAAAAAAGGGTTAATAGGAGGTATGGTCCCCTCCTACAGATATACAAGCCTTGCAACGTGATTTCATACTTGAAATAAGGCAGTTTATCATTTCCTGTGGCAATTGGCCTGAATTGTCCTGCGGTAATTGCATACCTTCCGACTCCAGCGAAATCATGCACGATCATGTGTGTGAGTTACAAATGTTGAATGGTTATTTGTTTTGTATTGTATCAATGTAATCTTTACTACTGGACCATTGTATCAATGGTCCAGTAGTTCTAGAAATAATCGACCAAGTCTACAAATTCTCTTAATTTCTTCCACCAGTGCAGCATTTTTCAGTTTAGTAAATTAAAAACTTACATGCATTTAAAGTGCGCTTTGAAATCCTTTGAGACATTTCCTTCTATGTTTACTTACGATACAAACCTAATGCGGTATTTGATTAGTTCTTGATTAGCAGGAAACTCATTCTTCAATTTATCTGCTTTTTAATTTATCTATAATTGTAAACAATATAGACAATGTGGTTATTTTTACAAGCAATTTCACACTTTTAATATGGCCCTTATATCATTGCAGGAGGTTGTGGTAAATCTGGAAAAGGAGGAAAGAAAGACGATGACAAGGATAAGAAAAGTGGCTCCTCAAGTGACTTGGAAGGGTTCCTTAAGAAAATAAATGAAATGAACGGTGGAATGGATGGGCTAAAGGGAAACAAAGGTGCCGATGCTGATGATTTAAAGAAAAAGCTCAAAGACATGGGAATAGATGCAAGTCCAGAAGATCTCAAAAAGCTGAAAGGCATGGGAATTGATGGAAGTCCAGAAGGTATGAAAAAGTTGAAAGGTTTGGGAATTGGCACAGATGGCTTAAAGGATGCCCAAGGCAAACTTCCAAAAGGTGGACTTGATGGAATGGGTGGAGGCATGGATGATGCAGCTTTGATGCAGAAACTCAAAAGCATGGGAATTAATGCAAGGCCAGAAGATTTACCAGCTATAAAAGATAAACTTAAGGGTCTTGGACAAGACGGAGGTTTCCAGGGTGCTATGGGTGGACTTAAAGGCATGAACTTGGATGGTGGAATGGGACAACTTGGTGGATTAGCAGGAGGTATGGATGATGCTGCTTTAATGCAAAAACTCAAAGGTATGGGAATTAATGCAAAGCCAGAAGATTTACCAGCTATAAAAGATAAACTTAAGGGCCTCGGACAAGACGGAGGTCTCCAGGATGCTATGGGTGGACTTAAAGGCATGAACTTGGATGGTGGAATGGGGAAACTTAAGGGACTAGGTGGAGGCTTAGGCAATGCTGGAAATCTAATGGGAGGTATGAATAAAATGGGACTAAGTGATTTGGATATGCAGCAATTGCAAATGAATAATATTTTGACAGCTGCTTCTCAAAAGGGCCTCAACATGAACCAGCTTTCCACTTTGAAGCAGATGATGACAAGAACAATGGCCATGAAGGGAAGTCTTAAAGAAGGACAAATGGGAGAAGTTTTAAAGAATATTGGTTTCTCCAGTGATGAACTGGATAAGTCACTTGGTGTTAATAGTGCATTTGAAACGAATAAAGCCTTATTTCAAAGTACAGGAGCTCTCGACGCATCTAAACAAATAGGCCAGCAGCTTCAGATGTCCGGAGATTCTCTTGGCATGGGCGGTACTATAGAGAAAACCAGGGCATTCGGAAAAAGAATTGGAGAAGGAAAAATCGGAGGAGAATTGCAGAGAAGCGGAGAGTTCACTCAAAAGTTAGGTCTCGATAAAACGACTGGTGACCTCAAGGGATTGGGGGGAGCTGGAGATGCTGGAGAGTTACTAAGCAAAACACAAAGCTCATTGAAGTCAAGCGCCTTAGAATCTAGCATGTCTACAATTATAACCCAACTCAAAGCAAGTGGTGAACAGGGAAAAGCTTATGCAGAAGTAGCCGAGAAAATCATGGCTCTTGCTAAAGCAGCAAATGCTGGAAAGGGTGCAGGAGATTTGGCTGGTGGTGCCGGTGGTTTAGGAGGCGCAACAGATTCTCTGAAAGGAGGCCTTGGAGGCGTTGGTAAGGCGACAGAAGGATTAAAAGGAGCTCTTGGCTCTGATGGTAAAGCATCGGGTGGTTTGTCCGGTTCCGGTGGTGGTCTTTCTGGAGGCCTTGGCTTCCGCAGAAAGTAAATTTCCGCAAACTTCCTTTCGCGTTTTTAGATTCTTTTTAAGCTATATTGGAGTTTACTCCATTGTTTGACTATGTATGTGATATAAAAGTCTTGCTTTATTATTGTCAAAAAGTTATTGTTTAACTATTAAAATGTGCTTACAAAGTTTTGTAAAGCAGTTTATTAGTTTATAATAAATGATTTAAAAATAAATTTTTGTATTAATTATTTAACACTGGTTTTTATTAATGTTCAACACTTGTAAAAAATAAACAATTCAAACAATAAGACAATTTATAGAATAAAAAATATATTCAGTAGTATTTCCAAATAAGGGACACCCTCAGTTTAAGGGCAAAAAAATATATTGGTTCAGGTATCTTTGAATAGGGGTATTAAATGTATTTAATTGTTAATAAGAAATGCAGTATAAAAGATACATTAAAAAAAATTGTAAGAAAAACTTTATAAGATAGAAAAATATAATAATAAAAATTGAAATACTTTCTGCCAGTATGCTCGTCGCTCTCTTTTGATTTTTACTGCTTGGTGGTAGAGAGGAAAGGAACAACAGACAAGAAAAATATTGTTATGGAACAATCAAGAGGAATTTCACATTAAAGAAATTTTGCGAACATAGTAGGAGAGAGAAAGTAAAATATACTTTGCCATCCAAAAATTGCTCTGTGGCTATTGGGGAGAGGATCAATAAAACAATGATCAGACTGGTGAACCATTTAATGATCAGAAGCTCAGTCAATGGAACAGTCTAATATAGATTGATTGAGCCGTGATGGCTCAGAGAATCGAACATTAACCTTCCAATTATGTGAATCGGGTTCACATAATTGGATTAATTAGCGATGGCTGGTCGCTACGAATTCCGCATCCGGCTTGCACCGACCACAGTGCTGACGTAAAATATTCTCAGTGGTAGACGGATCATGGATTAGAGTCCCCTTGACGACAGGATAATCATGCTAGGTTTTCTTCTCCATGGAATGCAAGTCACTGGAATGCGATGGTTAGTTCTATTAAAGAGTTCTCCAAATGAGTGCAAAATCAACTCTGTAAAAGTTGTTAACAGAAAAACAACGATGTCATGTTAATTAAGAAACATTGTCCTCAAATCATGAAGGAAATTTGGGAAATTCCTTAAAATTTTTATTGCTTAAGGACTGTCCATAATTGTCAAACCTTCATTCTTATATAAAAGAATTCCATTATCAATTCAAAGAATTTGTATGTCACTAATAACGACGACTTCTCAGCAAAAAATTGCTTATTAGGAAATAATGCAAAATAAGCGCAAAATCTATGACGTAGAAGTTGTTAACAGGGAAACAGAGATATAATGTTGATTAAAAAAATTGCCCTCAAATCATGAAAACAATTTGGAAAATTGGATTTTTATTGTTTAGAGACCATCCATTAATGATGACACACTTTTATTCCTAAATATAAGAATTCCATTATCCATAATATAAGATTTCCATTATCCATATAAGAATTCCATTATCCATAATATAAGAATTCCATTATCCATTATATAAGATTTCCATTATTTATAATATAAGAATTCCATTATCCATAATATAAGAATTCCATTATCCATAGTATAAGATTTCCATTATCCATAATATAAGAATTCCATTATCCATAATATAAGAATTCCATTATCCATAATATAAGATTTCCATTATCCATAATATAAGATTTCCATTATCCATAATATAAGATTTCCATTATCCATATAAGAATTCCATTATCCATAGAAAATCTTTCTCCAAATTATCTTTAGTAAAAAAATACAAAGTTGACTAAAAAGAAACAAAAAACTTTCCGTGTATGTCATCAATTAACTTCGAAATGATGACTTTTCAGCAAAAAATTGCTTATTAGGAAATAATGCAAAATAAGCATGAAATCTATGATGCAGAAGTTGTTAACAGGGAAACAGAGATATGATGTTAATTAAAAAAATTGTCCTCAAATCATGAAGGCAATTTGGAAAACTCCTTAGATTTTTATGTTTTAGAGACCATCCATAAATGATGACACGCTTTTATTCCTAAATACAAGAATTCCATTATCCATAATATAAGAATTCCATTATCCATAATATAAGAATTCCATTATCCATAATATAAGATTTCCATTATCCATAATATAAGATTTCCATTATCCATAATATAAGATTTCCATTATCCATATAAGAATTCCATTATCCATAGAAAATCTTTCTCCAAATTATCTTTAGTAAAAAAATACAAAGTTAACTAAAAAGAAAAAAAAAACTTTCCGTGTTTGTCATCAATTAACTTCTAAATTTTAAATTAACTTCTAACTTCTAAAGCAAAACGTTACTTATTAGTAAATGAGAGCAAAAATCTACGATTTTAAAAATTGTTTACAGGAAAGCAGCGATGCCATTTTAGTTTTTTTTTTTTTTTTTTTTAAAAAAATCAAGTTCAAATCTTAAAGAAAAGTTGGGAAACTCCTTGAAATTTTTTTTAAGGGAAAGGTATTAAGGACTGTCCATAAATGTGTCACACTTTTTTTCAACTATAAGAATTCCTTTATCAATTCAGACAATTTTGTCCAATATTTTCTTCAATAAACAAATACTAAGTTAGAAAACTAAAAAGTATCTGATGCCAGTAATTATGTAAAAGTTCTGTCTATCAGTAATTATATAAAAGTTCTGTATATCAGTAATTATGTAAAAGTTGCTTACAGTAATTTATTATCAAGGTTAATCAAGTTTTTATAGCGGTTAGTTAAAAAGAATCAACCTCAATTCATAAGGAAAATTTGGGAAATTCCTTGAAATTTTTATTACTTAGGGACCGTCCANACGCCATCTGGCGGTATAAAAAGAAAAAGACTTCGTAGCTATCCTTCCCAGGGAATGACAACAAATATTATTGATACAAACGTTTTAAAAATTAGGAGTAGTCGATGGACCCCCAAAATATGACCAATGGATCCCTAAGGGGTGCATGAACCACAGGTTAAGAAACCCTGCTGTAGAGGTTACGATTATAACAGCGGGTGCGATAACTTCGTCAAACTTCATACTACTTACCAAAAATTTCAAAGCTAAACCTAATTATACTCTGTGTCCAGTATATTGGAGAACATCATTTGTTTTAATTTATCACTGAAAAAATTCTTATGCTTTTTTTTCTTTCTGCTTTTCTTAACCAAGTCTACGTTATTCCTTTACGAAATGAATGTCTATGTTATTATAAATGTCTATGTAATTTTTAATTACAATGAAAAATTATAAAATAGGGGAAAAAATTCAATTCAAACAACTTCTTAAACAGTTATGTGTCATATAAATATCGTATTATTCGAATATTCAATATGTAAATATCTTATCATTTGAACCTAGTAGATTTCGTTCATGACCAAAATGTGATGAAATACATTTTAAAAATTACACTGGTAAGCACATATTTTGTTGCATTTACAAAAATACTTGATTTAGCCTAGTTCGGATGCGAGGATTTCAAATCTGAAATTAGTTCTGCACCTAAAACTACAGATTTTTTTAAACGACGTTTTTAGTCAATTTTTTGTCGAATAGTACAAGTTTAAAAATGTTATGTATAACAGGGGATCACATAAATGTTGCGACAAACTTACAGAGGAGGCATGGGTACATCATCGGAATTAAAATGGCATAAGAACCCATGACCAGAAATGTCATCGTACGCAGCTAGGGCACTTTCCCAATTATGACCTGCTTAAAAGCACACGAAGAAACAGTTAGTTCCAAGTTAAGTATAGTTCTAAGTAAATATCGTATATTCTAACATTATTTGAAATTCAGGTCTCATGACGATTGTTGCATTTTTTACTGCATGTACCATCGCCATTTTTAACGGAAAACGCGTCACAATTTGATATCCAGAATTAGAATTTTCCAAATTAGATGTCATTTGGAAACTCAAAAAAGGAAAAAATGAAAAATATATATTTAAAAGACTATCTATTCTTCTATTCTTCTTGGCAACTTCTATTCTTCTTGGAACTACAGCCCGGTGCAAGCCACTACGATCTCCTAGAATTTTTTTTCTTTGAAATCATCAGATGCATGACTTGTAATAGCAATGCTTGATCACTAACAGCAAAGTAATTTTAAAACACAAAATTCGAGAAATGAAATAATTAAAAAAAAAAAGAAAGTAAAATTGTGTTAGATTATACTGAGCCTAAGAAACTAACAGTCTGAATTGTCCAGTTTAATAAACAAATAAGCACTGAGCAATTAAATAAATGGTAAATACATAGTGAACAAATAATCTGAAGAAACTACAGCGGAAATATATACTTGGTTAAAAACCTCTTTGGCTTTAAAAAAAATAGAAAGAAAGATGGCATAAAAGTCAACATGTGTCTCTAAAAAAGATACCCATTCTCAAGAATATCCAAATGTGAATGAGAAAAGCAGTGATTTGAAACATAAAACAAAAAAGTGCTTAAAACATAAAAAAGTGATTTGAATCATAAAACATAATGTTGCTTTCCAAAAATGGAAAAATAAAGGTAAAAAACAAAACTAGAAAAAACCACGGTTGCCGAGAGTGAAACGAAAAATAAATAAAGATGATAAATTAAAATTAGTAAAACAGCTGTTACCAAGAGAGGCAAGTTAGGGCAGAATGCATTTCGATGCTCTATTAACAGGTGATGACGATTACACGCTATTAACAAGGGAAAAACCATTCATGTGAATGAAACAAGATTTCAGGCAACCAAGATGAGCTGATGTGACAGGGCTGGAAATAATGTTGGCATTGTCGAAATTGAATTTATGCTCAAGATTCCAACGATGAGCATAATAGATATCGCATTCTTGATAACGAATACATCTATCGTGTTCCTTCAGTTCAAATTTTAAAGCACGTTTGGTTTGTCCAATGTAGCCAAGGCCTCCCAAACAAGATATTTGATAAATGCCCTAGCTATATTCGATGCTGATAGGATCTTAAAGAGACTTAAATTTATTTTTTTGACGCTCCTGAAAATATCTTTAGAACCAAAATGGGAGAAGATATTCGTAATTTTGCATCAAACGGGAGAGAAAAAAGGGATATTGTTGTTTCTAATGGCACTTGCCAACCAGCAAGCCTGCTTGGTGAAACCAAGCGTATTTAGGGCAAGAGATGCGTTTCTTGTTTTTCAGTGGCGCCATCTATGGCTAAGAATACGAATTCAACCACACATACGTCACAGATTGTTTATAGGGCGGACCCATTCATATATCCATTCATTCATCCACAGATCGTCATCCACTGCCAGAGAACTACCAATCTCTAATTCAGTACCCCCAGAGGTATGATTTGTTTTGGGAACATGGAGGACTTTCCATACCACTATTAAATTTTTTTTCGAATCACGAACAATGATTATAATGAAATTTCTAAGCCTAACTCACGAAGAAAATATTCACAAGAAAAGGAAACTTGCGAAAGATTCTGATATATATTCTTTGGTAAAGTTTTTTAAATTTTTTTTTTATAAAACTCAAACTAGTTTATTACGGTATATAAAATTTTAGTTACATTTAAATATTTTTATTATTGTTTTTAATTCTAATTCCATGTAAATAATAAACGTGTCACAGCGAGTGTTAAATGAAATTTCTTAGGGTAGCTCTTAACCGCACAAGCATAACCACTTTTATTTCATAAATTATAAATATAATGTGTGGGGAATACTAACATGAATTAAACTAATATGAGCCATCGAGTAACGAAATAAAACTAAATTACAAAAAATAAATTGTTTATTAAAAACTCTAAATATGAAAAACTGAATTAGAACATACTTCAAATTTCCAAAGTAAGTTGAGAAAAAAGGCTCTGCGTCCAGAAACTCGCTTAAAGCCAAAGTAGACTGCTGTAGCGAAATCGCTAATCCAACTGAAGCAGGCAAAAATATTCTAGTCAGCAAGAGATTCAGAGAACAAATCAACAAATAACAAATAAGAAAAGATTTCTCCTAACAAGTTATTGTCAGATTATTCAACTACGGCTGAACATAATGTAATACCGATTTTCAATGTTAAATTTTGGTAACTTCATTTTTAACATCAATTTCAACAACTAAATAATGATGTTATTGTTGTAATGCATTTCAGTGGCCTTGCAATTTGTAATAGAAAATGTACTTTTAAAATAAGTTTTTAGAATTATAAATGAAAAATCTATTCATATATTTTCTTTGTTTATCGTAAGGAATAACATTGGTTCGAATCAAAGAGTAAAATTTTATCTAAACAATACTATTGTGCATTTTTTTAGCATTACATTATACCCTTAGTATAATGTAATGCTAAGAAAATAATAGTATATTGTATAGTATATCATATTATGCGAAAGTTAAAGCAGAGTAAACAAATATTTATTACATGATTTTGTTTCAACATTCTTTGAATGTGCCGAATTTATATCAATGAGAATTTAAAGGTAAGAAGGTATTTTATTTACGTCTCACTAGAGCTGCACAATGGGCTATTGGCAACGGTTTGGGAAACATCCATGAGGATGATCCGAAGATATGCCATTGCAATTTTGATCCTCTGCAGAGGGGATAGCTCCCCTGACAACGTGCGAGAAGTCGAGCACCTTACGGTAGAACAGTTAAACGAGGATCGATCGATACCGTGCACCCTCGATCCCTACGCAGGCTGATCAAACAGGTCACTCACCCGCAACCAGTGATGCTTAACCTCGGTGTTCTACTGGGAACCGTGTCTTCACGATCAGTCTAGCGCGGGACGAGAATTTAAAGAAGATAAAACTTTTTTAGAAGATAACTACTTTTTTTGGACGTCAATATTTTTTTCTAGTGGCTGGATGGCGCAGTTGGTTTGTCGTTGGCCTTCTGAGCCCAAGTCTACGGGTTCGATCCCCGGCCCAGACAACGGATTTTCGGGATGCAGAAAATCCTCAGCGGCCATGTCGTATGATTATGCGGCATGTAAAAGNTGCATCAAACGGGAGAGAAAAACGGGATATTGCTGTTTCTAATGGCACTTGCCAACCAGCAAGCCTGCTTGGTGAAATCAAGCGTATTTAGGGCAAGAGATGCATTTCTTGTTTTTCAGTGGCTCCATCTATGGCTAAGAATACGAATTCAACCACACATACGTCACAGCTTGTTTATAGGGCGAACCCATTCATTCACCCAGAGATCGTAATTTTGACTTGAACCAGAGAACGACCAATCTCCAATCCAGTACCCCCCAGAGGCATGATTTGTTTTGGGAACATGGAGGACTTTCCATACCACTATTAAATTTTTTTTCAAATCACGAACAATGATTAGAATGAAATTTCTAAGCCTAACTCACGAAGAAAGTATTCACAAAAGGAAACTGCGAAAAATTCTGATATATATTCTCTGGTAAAAATTTTTTTTTATAAAACACAAACTGGTTTATTACTGAATATATAATTTTAATTGCATTCAAATATTTTTATTAAGTTTTATTGTTTTTTAATTCTAATTCCATGTAAATAATAAACCTGTCACAGCGAGTGATAAATGAAATTTCTTTGGGTAGTTCTTAACTGCACAAGCATAACCATTTTTATTTCATAAATAATTAATATAAAGTAATACCGATTTACAATGTTAAATTTTGGTAACTTCATTTTTAACACTGATTTCAACAACTAAACAATGATTTAATTGTTGTTATACATTTCAGTCGCCTTGCAATTTGTAATAGAAAATTTACTTTTAAAATAAGTTTTTAGAATTATAAATGAACAATCTATTCACAGATTTTCTTTGTTTATCGGAAGGAATAACATTGGTTCGAGTCAAAGAGTAAAATCTTATCTAAACAATACTATTATACATCTTCTTAGCAATACATTATACTCTTAGTATAATGGAATGCTAAGAAAATAATAGTATATTTTATAGTATATCATATTATGCGAAAGTTAAAGCAGAGTAAACAAATATTTGTTACATGATTTTGCTTCAACATTTTTCTTTAATGTGCCGAATTTGTATCAGTGAGAATTTAAAGGTAGGTAGGTATTTTATTTACGTAACACTAGAGCTGCACAATGGGCTATTGGCGACGGTCTGGGAAACATCCCTGAGGATGATCCGAAGATATGCCATCGCAATTTTGATCCTCTGCAGAGGGGATAGATCCCCTGCTTTGGCAGCCAAACGGCCTGCGAGAAGTCGAGCACTTTATGGTAGAACAGTTTAACGAGGACCGATAGCGTGCACCCTCGGTCCCTACGCAGGCTGTTCAAAAAGGTCACCCACTCGCAACCAGTGATGCTTAACTTCGGTGTTCTACTGGAAACCATGTCTTCACGATCAGTCCAGTGCGGGACGAGAATTTAAAGAAGATAAAACTTATTTTTAATCATAAAGTGAAAAATCTTTTAATTAAATATTCTTCCGAGATACTATCTGTATTTATCATAAGAAATTAATATTAGTAAATACCCATAGTGTTGCTGTTGTTGTTCATTTACATCGCACTGGAGCTGCACAATGGGCTATTGGCGACGGTCTGGGAAACATCCCTGAGGATGATCCGAAGACATGCCATCACAATTTTGATCCTCTGCAGAGGGGATGGCACCCCCGCTTCGGTAGCCCGACGACCTGTACGCGAAGTCGAGCACTTTACGGTAGCACAGTTTAACGAGGACCAATACCGCACACCCTCGGTTCCCACGCAGACTGGTCCAAGTGGTCACCCATCCGCACACTGATCGCAGTCAGTGATGCTTGACTTCGGTGATCTGATGGGAACCGTGTCTTAACAACCACTGCGGGATATACCCATAGTGTGAAATTGTATTTAAATGATTTATAAAAGTATTCAAAGAATTACAACGAATTGAAAATACAGTGATGAAAAATCTATTATGTGACGTCATAAAACGTGCAGCGAAATCGATGGGTACAACACAACCTAATCCTTTCTTGGAAATAACACAACCTTATGTATCTTCTCACCTTGCTTTGATATTGAGTCAAAACTCTTTCTTGAAATGAATGACAAACTATAAAATTTCAAGGGATAATGCGAATGTTATTTATTGGTACTTATTTTGAAAATTTGCACTAACTACTTTTTTTGGACGTCAATATTTTTTACTAGAATCATTCATGCACTTTGGAGTTGAGTTGTAAATTTTTCTAAATAGAACAATCGCTTTCCCAAATATTAAGTAAAAATGTGCGTGGTATAATTTAGAAATTAATTGCCCAGAGAGAGTCGTATAAAGGCGTCGATTAAATAACAAATCACGAAATTCAACACATCATAATGTTCTCGTTAATATTCTCAATAATCCAGTCATAAATATTATCTGTTGTATAAATTAGATAGTACTTAAGCCTAATCTCCGTTGTACGAATGGACGTTTTTTTTTACGAGAATATGTTCGTGTAGCTATAAAATTCGAAATGAGTAATTGAATACGACTTTTCGAAGGTGTAGATTAGTTCGACATTCGATTTGTTTAATCAGACCAGGATTTAACAGTTCCAATTAGGCTAGCATTAAATATGCTTTGATCTGCAATCTTTTTAGTTTTTGTACTGAACTGCAAGAAAATGCAGGCTATAGTACTCGCTCTTATTTTCGGGGTTTTGTTTTTCGAAACTAAAGGTAAGCATAGACAATTGATTATGTAATTATTTGCACATTTGTTAAAATTATTTACCAACTTTCAAATGACATTTTTTCTTATAATTTTCATTGAATAACTTTTTGAACCACATAAAAATAATGTGACTGTTTAACACGAAGCAAAACTTCATGGCCGTATAGCGCAGCAATCCCAAAGATAAAGTCATATATTTCTTAGAAAAGCAAAGATTCTTTTTACTTTCACTTAGAGTAATTTAATTTTAAAAAAATCGAATATTTTATTTTTTTGCATAATCTACACTTTGGAGATGTATTTTTGTTGAAAAAAAAATTAACAGTTTTACAGTTTTAAATGTCAATGTCAAGTCAGCTCTCTCTGTCATATCTTCCCTTTATTTTCTCTAAAATGTGCCAATACATCACTAGTCATAAATATTATCCCTATTAAATATTAGTCATTAATATTTAATGGGGATAACCCTATTAAATTTAGTCATAAGTAAATTTAGACTAAATTTACTAATTTAGACTAAATTTAGTTATAATTAAATTCAGACTAAATTTAATAGGATATTCCTATAAAATTTAGTTATAAATATTTAATACGGATAATATTTATAGAAATATTAGTCATAAATACATAATTAAATGTGCCCACACTCGCCTGAAATGGTTTAAATAGAACTATAACACATTCCCCTATAGCTCAGACTTGATACCCAGTGACTGTTATACGTTTCCTTAGTTGAAAACATAATTGGTAGAATTCAGTTCCAATGGCGAGGCAAAAAAATAAGATTCATAGTTAACTCAAGGATATGACGGGGAGCTGGTATGCCATGGATGTGCGAAAGTTGTCCCAGCGGTTACAAATATGCATCAACTGAAACTTATGTAATGAAATAGATAAATATTCAGCCTATAAATTTTTATGAAAATAATAAAACTATGATTGGATTCTTACATTTCTAAAAAAGTAAGAAAGATTACTTTTGAGACTAACTTTACATTAAATATAATGATTTAATGAAATATGTATTCAACAATTTAAATCAATTTCAAAACTTTAAGTGTATATTTTTATTTTATTTTATTTTTTTTTTTTTAGTTGGATTGCACTATAATGATTAAACACTTTCCTTAAGATTATTTAATACTCCTTGAGTTACTTAATACTTTTCCTTAGAGAAATACAGAGTAGAGAAGAGTCAAAGTTTTGCATTTGCTGTTCAAAGTTAAATATTTCGACAATAAGTTGAACTTTTTGCATATTTACGACTTTTATTAATGTTTGTAAATTTCAATTTATTAATAATTATGGTAACTCACGTATTTCTCTTCCAAATAATATGAACATTGGCAAAAGTGTTTGCTTGCTTTCGGTTATGAATTCGTCACGTTTTTACTTACAGTTTATAATCTCTTACAATAGCTTATTTTATCTAATCAGCAGCTTATTTGGTGTCAATGATAAGAAAGCTTATATTTCTTAATTATTTGATATAAACTTATGCTATCTGAAAAATGTTCTCTTACTGTTAATTTTTTGGAGGGGGAAGGAAATGTTACCCTCACATGTTGGCCTCATTTTCATTTCAATAAAAATATGGCGTACTCTTTTTTTTTTTCCAACGCTCTTCAATCCCGCTGCGTATAGCCCCTCGCTGCGCCAATGAGCGTAACTACTCATTAGGCAAAAGATATATATATATATAGTTTTTTTTTAATTATTTTTACTTTGATTTTTAAAACTATCCAAAATCACTGACTTGTTCATTTAATTTTAATTCAATAAGATGCTTGGATGTTTTTTTTTAAAGTATGCCGCGTGTTAATGACGGCAAAATATGTAAATGTTTTCTTAGCACCCAAAGTAAATTAGGGTTTGCTTAAAAATTTTTTATTTCTCTTTATTTTTCTTGTTCTTAACTTTATTTCTATGTTAAACAAAATACGTATTTATACAGGGTGAAAATTATTGAACTATATGAAATAAAATGTAAATTAGTTAAAAACAACTGAGTGCTCAAACTTAATTCAACATGGAAACGTCACTACAGATATTTGGTTTTAGGTTATAACATATTCGATATGACTACCATCATTGCCTATGAAGTGTCTCAGACGAATAACAAACTTCTGCATGAATTTTCCGGAAGATTCCGGAATTTCGATGCTGTCGATGACCTCCTGAATGGCAGTTTTCAGATCAGCAATGATTTTGGGGTTATTTATGTACAATTTGTCTTTCAAAATAGCTTCACAAATATGTTGACACATGTGTTCAGATCTGGAGAATATGGCGGTCAAGCGAGTCTCATTCTAGTTACCTCTAGGCACTCCAGAGCCAGAATGCGATCCTTAAAGTGCTCCTCCAGGACATCAACCAGGGTCGAGCTCCGTCTTGCATGAATCACATCGTATCTGAATCGGAGGCACTTCAGGTAATGGGAATGAAATCATTTTCCAAAACCGCGAAGCCATATTCACATCAAATTTCTGTTCGTCAATTCCATCGAGAATAGTTTAAGCGAAACACAACCTCTGTTTCAGGGCGATGGGGCCTAATGGCTGATGTGCTTGAATTTTGTATGGGATAAGAGATGCATGTCGTCAACAATAATTTGTCGCAGGGTATCTGGGTTGATTTCCAACTGTTGTGTAGTTCGTCTGAGCGATTTCCTTGGGCTGATTTAATAACCAGCTAGTATCTTCTTGATGTCTTCAGGCTTTTTCACACTTGTTTGTCGACCGACATTGCAACACTATCATCACAAACGCTACCAGTTCTCTCAAAATTGCGAATCAAATTCTTGATTGCTAGCACAATTAGACCGGTTCTGTTGTCTTCAGCTTGCACTCGGTCGCAAACTTCTTGTTAGCCATAATCAGGCTGCTATTGCTCGCATAGTAGGCTTTCACAAGCGATATACCCCAAGCATGCTGCACCGTGACATATTTCACTTGCAAATGGCCGACAACAAAAAGTTGCATGTGCATTCTAATTCCAATCATGCCCTGCGGCCAACCACGAAATTTGAACTTCATCATGCAAACCGTTCAGAAATTAAATGACGGTTTTATTTCATATAGTTATTATTATTATAGTCATTTATTTCATAATAGTTCTTTATTTCAATAATTGTCCCCCTGTTTGTAAGTTAGCATTATTTCTTATAGGGACTACATAAATGTATTTCGAGTATCATAAAGTATCAAAATATCAAATCATAATTTTTTTCTCTGTTTATAGTAGAATTTATCATAGCACAGAATTAAAGGAAATAATTAGATGTGAATAAAAATATCACAGAGATACTTAATTATAAATAGTAGAGTGTCTACTCTTCAAATGCACAGCCTAATCGTTTCCTTTTAGTGTTGCTAGAGAGCTCTTATATAAGTACAGTGAAAAAGAACTTAGAAAAAAGTGCTGTGATGATGTTACAGTGGATCGTCATTAATTATCACCGTTATTTATCATATTATCGTTCATGGTACCCCATAAACTGTAGACTCTATTCACTTCAATTATCAATTAAATTGTCAATAGTTTTCACAATGTAAGTACTTCCTACAGGATGCTCCACAATTGATGAACGATTTGAAAAAACAATTAAAGAAATAGGATGGATGTAGAAATGTACAGTTTGATGCATCCTGCTTAAAAAACCTATGATTTTTTCTCACAAAGTTTCAAATTTAGATTCAAAGTTAATCATTAGAGTTTGAAAAATACTATAAAACAGTATTTTTATAATGACAACAATATGCTGCAACAATGTTGCTATGCATTCTGAAAACAACATGATCCTGTTATTCAGTAGGAATGGATCGTTTTACAGACGGCAGAGCCATCTATTGATGAGGTTTACAATTAGTTTTTAAATGTGGCGAGAAACTATTTCTAAGTTTTTGTTACATCCTTTACTTTTAGACGGTTCGTCAGTTCGATTTTCTTTCATCTTTCTTTAATTGATTTTTCAAAACATCGACCATATTTTGGATTTAGTTTTAGTTTATTCACTAAAAAAATATTTCACATATTTTTTTAATGTTGGGCAGTATTATTATCATGTACCTTATAAATTGTGCTTCAAGAATATATTTTCTATTATTTTTTTAGGTCAAGATTTTTCTGGAAATTTCAGACAAAGTAATGGAGGTTTTGGTGGTGGTTATGGTAATTTTGGTGGATCTGGCACCATGGGCGGAACATCTGGCTCGATTGGATACGGAGGAAACATGAGAGGAGGTTAGACTCTTTTTATGCAGTTTTAGAATATTTTAAAGAAGAATAATAGGGAAGAATTCAAAAAACTATTTTTGAATTTATATTATTTTATTTTCAAATATATAACGTTATTTTCAAATATATAACGTTTCATTGTGCTCTTCTTCGAATTCACCACACTGTCAATCATACAGGCCGCCAAAATGTAGGCGTCGTTGGGTTGGTCCTCATGCAGTAAGAATTTTTTTTAAAAAAAGCGATGTTTTTTCCCAGCTTTGTGTGCTAAAACACATTTTTTTTGGGATGATCATTTTTTGGTCTGTTTCCTAAGAACTTTAGTGGCGAAAGAAGCATATCAACTTCCAAATTGAATTCGTGACAAATAAAAATACGTGGGCTTAAACTTCGTACAATTTTTGATTGTTACCCTGTAATATTTATTCTGTTTTTATAACAGAAATACAATAATTGTCCAGTATTGCTATTTAATTTTATTAAAACATATGTCATACAATGTTTTAAATATATCACAACAAATTTCAGATAAACTTTTTAATTTGGAAAAAAAAAAGATTTATTATATTCTTGATTTTGCAGGTCGCAAATTTGGAGGTGGGGGGGGGAATGTCTAGTGCTGGTAGAATAAGTACTTGATGCTTCAAAATTAATTCGTCACAGTCATATTAAAATTTTGCTTGAATTATAAAAACAGTTCATGATAATACTATATATATTATCATGAACTGTATTTTAAAATTGCATTATTTGATGTTTAAATTATATTTTTTTCTTACCTATTTTTAAGATCCTGCGTTTGGTGCAAATGGACAAATGTCTGGTAGTTCTGGAAGTAAGTAAGCAAAAGTGATTAGAGTGTTATTACAAGCATAAGTTATTCATTTTTATTTTAGATTTCTAGAAAAAAAATTAAAAAATTTGTAACAGTACTCAATATTTCCGACTGGTTTTTATAGGTTCTGTTTTTGGAGGGATGGGCGGAATGTCTAATGCTGGTGGAAGTGGAAGTAAGAACATGATACTTCAAAATTAGTTTGTTGTTTCACAAGTTCACCGGTCAAAATAGTAGTCATACCTTGGAAAATCAGTTGTTGTTTTCAATGATACTTCTATAATACAAGCTAACCAGTTATTGACCTTTGGCGAATTAAGTCAGGAAGGTGCGCCTTTCGTTTGACAAAAGCACCGCAAGGGTGAAATAGTTCAGAATCCCACGGATTGATGAGAGCATCACTTATTCGTAAGGTCACTTCCTCTATTTAGACATAGATATGAAGAAGAAAGAAATTTTTCCAGCCATGTACTGCTCAGTGACAGATTTTTATATTGCGTATATTGCATGTACTAGGTAGTTCTTAACGAAATCGAAGATCCTCCGAACCGGAGTCCGATTCTGTGACCTTGGGCTACCACGGCTCAAAAGAAAATATGAAAAGCTCATTTAACACAGTATATAACTCCGCCTCTGGACTTAATAATGTCTGAATTTGGTTAAGATAAGATGTAAGTTCATACGATTTGTGGGTACATCGCACCCTTGCACAGTATTTATTTGAGCAAAACCTCTAAGTTTTGAGGATGCTGATTTCAACGCTTTACCCACTGTTCAAACAAGTAACGCGATTTTTATATGGGTTCAAGTCACAACGGATTTCGGATTTCAAAGGTCAATCGAGATTTAATAGGGTGTGTGATTGTTCATAAAACAGAAGAATAGGGATCTGTCCTCATAACGAGAAATACGGATATCAGTAGCATACTCATCATGAAAATGACTGGAAAAACAAGACCTGATCATTCAGAATGTCAAAATAGACAGACTGGATTATGTTGAAGGTCACTTCCGTGAGCGGAAAGAACTCATAACAAGAAAAACATCCCCAACATCACAAACTCTCCACCATTGAATTATGATTTATGCAATGAGACTAATTTTTGTCTGGTGAACTTAGATTTAATTAAGTTATAAAAACATTTAACAATAGTATTTTAGGCTTACAATATTTGATGTTTTATTTTGTTTGAGGTTCTTCATTAGGAGGAATGTTTGGAAGTAAGTATACTAAAGTTTTTCGGATTGTAACATAAGATTACTATGTTGCCATTGCGTTTAATTAAAATATTTTTTACCCATTTTTTTAGGTCCTGGCTTTAGAGGGATGAGTGGAATATCTAATGTTGGTGGGAGTAAGTATTAGATTAATATTTCATATTGTTACGATAATATTTTTTTAATCGAAAAAAAAATCTGTAATATAAATTTAAGCTAACACTAACACTGTAGCTAATTAACATTTGAAGTTTAAGTTAATTTTTTTTAAATCCATTAATAAAGTGGCTGATATATATGTAAAACACCTACACGAAAAAAGAGGTACTACTTATTTGTTTTAAAATGTAAACTGCAATATTTCTTATTGTTATCCATCACTTTAGTTTTAAAAAGCACCATACTAGACTTCAGATCCAAATCTTTATGTTATTAACATCTTTTGGTATTGAATTATCGTCTCTCCTTAAAATGAATCCCAATAATGAGACACTTGCACACCAATTTTTTTCTTTTTTGTAAAAATGGAACCATCCTTTTTTAAAGGACACTAAGCACAAATGGGTTAAGACAAAGCTATACCAAGGAAAAACTTTTCACCGCAAATTCCCTTTCACTTCCATAAGTAATTTAAATTTTGAAGTAGAGAAAAAGTGAGTTCAGGCAAGCCTAGAGTAAGCCTTAAAGTTCCAGTAGTTGAAAAAAAATTCAAAATATCGAAATGCTAACAAATTATTGTCAGAAAACTTCTTCATTGCGCAATAATTCATTTTGATATTATGAAAAAAAATTTGGCGGAACGTCTTTTGGAAGTTAAGTTAATATAATTTCCTTATATTCTGTTCTCTATCGTTGTTTATCAATGTTCCAGTCAGCGACTTTACACTTACATTTTTTAACTATATTTTATAGGTTCTGCTTTAGGAGGTTTTGGCGGAATGGCTGGTGGAAGTGGAAGTAAGTTTATATAATTTCATCTTATATTCTATTGTCTATAGCTGTATATCTATATTTTAACGAACAACTTTAAACTAATTTTTTCCAACTTCATTTTATAGGTTCGGCATTAAGAAGTTTTGGCGGAATGTCTGGTGGAAGTAAGTTTCTATGTTTTCCTTATATTCTATGTCTGTTTATCAAAGTTCAAACGAGCAACTTTTCTATTTTCCAATTTCCTTTTATAGGTTCTGCATTAGGGAGTTTTGGCGGAATGCCTGGTGGAAGTGGAAGTAAGTTTTTATGTTTTCCTTACATTCTTTTTTCTATGTCTGTTTATCAACGTTCTAACGAGTAACTTTTCTATTTTCCAATTTCCTTTTATAGGTTCTGCATTAGGGAGTTTTGGCGGAATGCCTGGTAGAAGTGGAAGTAAGTTTCTATGTTTTCCTTATATTCTTTTTTCTATGTCTGTTTATCAACGTTCTAACGAGCATATTTTCTATTTTCCAATTTCATTTTATAGGTTCTGCATTAGGGAGTTTTGGCGGAATGTCTGGTGGAAGTGGAAGTAAGTTTCTATGCTTTCCTTATTTTCTTTTTTCTATGTATGTTTATCAATGCTCCAACGAGCAATTTTTCACTTATATTTTCCAATTTCATTTTATAGGTTCCGCATTAGGGAGTTTTGGTGGAATGTCTGGTGGAAGTAAGTTTATACATTTTCTTTATATTTTACTCTCAATCTCTATTTATCTATATTTTAAAGACAACTCTACACTAACATTTACCATAGGTTCTGCGTTAGGAAGTTTTGGTGGAATGTCAGGCGGAAGCAGAAGTAAGTTTATACAATTTCCTTACATTCTATTCTCTATAGCTGTTTGTCAATGTTTTAGCCAGAAACTTTACACTTACATTTTTCAACTTCATTTCATAGGTTCTATGTTAGGAGGTTTCGGCGGAATGCCTGGTGGAAGTATGTTTAAACGGTTTCCTTACATTATATTCTCTATCTCTGATTTTAACGAACAACTTTACACTAATCTTTTCTCACTTTATTTTATAGATTCTGCATTAAGAAGTTTTGGTGGAATGTCTGGTGGAAGTGGAAGTAAGTTACTGCGACTTCATAATATTCTATTCTCAATAGATGATTATCAATATTTTAGACAGCAATTTTACACTTACATTTTCAACTTAATTTTATAGGTTCTCCATTAGGAAGTTTTGGTGGAATGCCTGGTGGAAGTAAGTTTTTATGTTTTCCTTATATTCTTTTTTCTATGTTTGTTTATCAACGTTCTAACGAGCATCTTTTCACTTTTATTTTCCAATTTCATTTTATAGGTTCTGCATTAGGGAGTTTTGGCGGAATGCCTGGTGGAAGTGGAAGTAAGTTTTTATGTTTTCCTTACATTCTTTTTTCTATGTCTGTTTATCAACGTTCTAACGAGCAACTTTTCACTTCTATTTTCCAATTTCATTTTATAGGTTCTGCATTATGGAGTTTTGGTAAAATGCCTGGTGGAAGTGGAAGTTAGTGTCTATGCTTTCCTTATATCCTTTTTTTTTATGTCTGTTTATCAACGCTCTAACGAGCAACTTTTCACTTCTATTTTCCAATTTCATTTTATAGGTTCTGCATTAGGGAGTTTTGGCGGAATGTCTGGTGGAAGTGGAAGTAAGTTTATACATTTTCCTTATATTTTACTCTGAATCTCTGTTTATCTATATTTTGAAGAACAACTTTACATTAACATTTATCAACGTTATGTTATAGGTTCTGCATTAAGCAGTTTTGGTAGAATGCCTAGTGGAAGTGGTAGTAAGTTTATACAATTTCCTTATATTTTATTCTCTATCTCTATACATCTATATTTTAACGAAAAACTTTTTATATTTTCCAACTTCATTTTATAGATTCTGCGTTAGGAAGTTTTGGCGGAATGTCAGGTGGAAGCAGAAGTTTGTTTATACGTTTCCTCACATTATATTCTCTATCTCTGTATATCTATATTTTAACGAACAACTTTACACTAATCTTTACTCACTTTATTTTATAGATTCCGCATTAGGAAGTTTTGGTGGAATGTCTGGTGGAAGTGGAAGTAAGTTACTGCGACTTCATAATATTCTATTCTCAATAGATGTTTATCAATATTTTAGACCGCAATTTTACGCTTACATTTTCAACTTAATTTTATAGGTTCTGCATTAGGAAGTTTTGGTGGAATGCCTGGTGGAAGTGGAAGTAAGTTTTTATGTTTTCCTTACATTCTTTTTTCGATGTTTGTTTATCAACGTTCTAACGAGCAACTTCTCACTTCTATTTTCCAATTTCATTTTATAGGTTCTGCATTAGGGAGTTTTGGCGGAATGCCTGGTGGAAGTGGAAGTAAGTTTTTATGTTTTCCTTATATTCTTTTTTCTATGTCTATTTATCAACGTTCTAACAAGCAACTTTTCACTTTTATTTTCCAATTTCATTTTATAGGTTCTGCATTAGGGAGTTTTGGCGGAATGCCTGGTGGAAGTGGAAGTAAGTTTTTATGTTTTTCTTATATTCTTTTTTCTATGTCTGTTTATCAACGTTCTAACGAGCAACTTTTCACTTTTATTTACCAATTTCATTTTATAGGTCCTGCATTAAGGAGTTTTGGCGGAATGTCTGGTGGAAGCGGAAGTAAGTCATACGTTTTCGTTTTATTCTCTAACTATGTTTATCAATGTTCTAAGGGGAAACTTTTCATTCATATTTTCCGATTTCATTTCATAGGCTCGGCATTCGGCAGTTTTGGAGGAATGTCGGGTGGAAGCGGAAGCAAGTTATACGTTTTCTTTTTATTTTATTCTCTAACTCTCTTGATGAATGTTCTAACGAGAAACTTTTCACTTATATTTTATTTCATTTTATAGGTTCTGGATTAGGCAGTTTCGGCGGAAGTGGAAGTAAGTTTATACGTGTTCTTATATTATTCTATTCCCTATTTCTGTTTATCAATGTTCTAGTGAGCAATTTTTGTGCTTATATTTTCCAACTTCATTTCATAGGTTCTGCATTCGGAAGTTTTGGGGGAATGCCTGATGGTATTGGAAGTAAGTTTATGAGTTTTCCTTACATTCTATTCCTTATCCCTATTTATCTATGTTCTAACGTGCAATTTTAATAATATGACTTTTTTAAAATTTAATTTCTCGGAAATTATTCGATCGATTTCGCTCAAATTTTGTATTTTGCCATGTAAAATTGCATTCGTTAAAAGGATGTAAAAATTTTATATCTTGCAACTAAACCTTTGTTCGACTATTATAAAATTTAAAAAAATTAATATTTACTAAAAGTTATTTTTTTCTGCATGAAATTATCCTTGGATAGATGAATTTTTTTATTATCTGCAAAAGTTTTTCAATTCGCTTAAAAAATTCTCAAGATATGGCGAAATACGCAAAAAGTAAAATTTACATTCAGGGGTCCAAACTCACGAGCACTCTCTTGATATACTATTGGCACCATATTTCCCAGATTCTGCTATCCCCTATATTTAGAGAGTCAAAACTCTGAATTTGTCGAAAAAAAGCCAGGTTTATTCAGAGAAAGCACGTTTTCGTGTCTAATTTCGCAGCTTAAAATATCTTTTGCACTATTTCATTAATATATTTGAAGCCTGCCCCTTAAACTATTAAGTTTTAAAAGGTGAAGATTCGATTATTAGATCAGAAGTTATTCAGGATTGTCCGTTTTATATTTAATCTATCATGATTTGTAGGTCCTGCATCAGGAAGTTTTGGTGGAATATCTGGCGGAAGTAGAGGTAAGTTCTTAATGTAATATATGCTTTAACTTTATTAAATTTAATTTTATATCTCCTCTTATTTATCATCATGCGAAACTTTTTACTTATACTATACTTATAGATTCTGCATCAGGAGATGCTAGTAGAAGTAAGTTCCATAAATAAAATGCTTGTTTCGTTTTATTTAATTTTCTATATCCGTTTTTTAACAATCTAATTTTAAATTTTTTGTTGGTAAAATATTCGATTTACGTTTTTTAACTTGATTTTATGTGTTCTTCTTTAGGAGGTAATGGTGGAATGCCTAATGGAAGTAAGTTTTTTTTTATGATTGGCCAGTTTTCGTTGTATTTATTATATCTCCATTTATTAATGTCTTAAAGAGCAATTTAAAAACATTCTGTTGACAGTATCAGATTAAAGTTTCCCAACTTGATTTTTTAGATTCTGCATTTGAAGGTTTCGGTGGAATGTCGAGTGGAAGTAAGTTTCATAATTGAAAAGTTTGTCTTCGTTACATTTAATTTTTTAAATTTTATTTCTGTTTATCAATGTTTGAACGAATAGCTTTAAACTTTTTGCTGATAGGGTAAACTAACCAGTGAAGGAACAATTAAGCTTCGCTTGCCATTTAAAAAATTATATTAATTTCAAAATTCGTAATTTTAGTTAAATGACAGTGTCAACATATTTGTTACTAATTGCAAATTATGTAAAATAATTGTAGAGAACTTACATAATATTGTTTTAAAGTTTTGGAGGTTCAAATAACAAGTAGTAAGAAGACTAAGTGAAGGAACAGTTCTTACCAGTGAATGAACACCCAGTAAAGGAACACTTAATTTTGGTTATCTTTTAAAGTTCTTTATGAATTTATAAGCCATACAAATATTTAAAAACAAGCCTATTCTATATAACATATAAATGCTAGGAAAATTTTAATTTTTCTCTGTAATCAGGAATTAAAAATTAAAGTGTTAACATATTAGTTCATAATATGTTGACAAATAGAATAAAATAGAAGTTCATAATATGATATGGCTGTTTTTATATATTTAAAGCCGTTGCCGAGAGGTAGGATGAAAACAGGTCTTAGGCAGGGGTAAAGGACATCAATATTTATTTAACCATTATTGGTAAAAGAACGATCATCCAAGTTACACAGAACCGAAGTGCTTCTGAATAAAATTTAGGGAAAATCTTGCAAAATAGACCCCGATGATATGGTACATGTATGCCTCATGGAAAAAGAGAAACCTGAGTAATTACAAAAATTGTTCCATTAAATAGGTCGAGGGAATAATGTGGTCCTCACAATTAGTAAAGGTAAAACTATAATATATTAATTCATGCTTACTGGAAACCAAAAATAGATCAAAGGGCAGGATGTAAATAATAAAGTGTGAGAAAGCGTTTTATGACTATTTACATTTTATTTAATTCTTTTTATTTATTTATTTCAATAATATTCTACAGAATAACGTCAAAACTTTTTACACGGAATATAAATATTTAATTTTTATCATTTTTGTCAAAAACAATCTACTTAAATTTTTCAGTTCTTAATATTCTGTTAAATCTTTTTACTCAGAATATAAATATTAAATTTTTTCATCGATGTTATAGATCCAGTATCAGGAGGAACTAATGGAATGCCTGGTGTAAGTAAGTAGTGAAACTTTATTACTATTTCAGTTTTATTTAATTCATTAATTTGTTTATATCTTAATATTCTATATAATATACGTTGAAACTTTTTTACTCAGAATATAAATATTTAATTATTTAAACTATGTTATAGGTTCTGCATCAGGAGGAATTAATGGAATGTCTGATGGAAGTAAGTAATGAAATTTTATCCCTATTTTCGATTTGCTTAATTCATTTATTTGTTTATTTCTTGTATTCTATAGAATAATGTTTGAAATTTCTACGTAGAATACGTATTTTATATTTTACATGCTGTTACAGATCCTGCAACAGGAGGAATTAACGGAATGTCTGGTGGAAGTAATGATTATTCTTGTAATATTTTTTTATCTGATGTTCTGATAATATTTTATGGTACTATTTTTTCTTTTCCTTCTTGGTTCTACATTAGGAAATATTGGCGAAATGTCTGATTCAAATGGAAGTAAGGGCATAATATTTTTTTAATGTTCTCGTGAGACAATCTTAGTAGATATTATTTTTACTTGTCACCACACCGGAAAGAGTACTTAAACAAAAAGAATTCAGTTTCCAAGTATTTGAAAGCGTGTGTTTACGTAAAACTGTAATTGATCTTCCTCTCTAAGAGTTTTGAATTTAGAAAAGAAATTTGAAGTAAAGTGAAAAATTATAGATAAAATGAATTTTGGTACAGTTTAAAATCTAATAAATTATATTTCAGCATTTTTTTTTTAAATTCCTTTTTGTTACGTATGCAAAATGTTTGAATATTTGTTGCCATACTATTTTAAAATATATTTAAATGTAGTATTATTGCAACAAATATTTAAACACTTCAAACTAACTTCATTTATGTCTAAAGAAGGATATTCTATTCCTATCTTCTTTTTTTTTCTTGAGCCTGCAATTCAAAAGTCTTTCTGACAATTAAAAAAGTTTTTCGATAATATTTTTTTAAATATCAAATGTTTAGATTTTATACTTAACTTGGTGATGTGACTGGCTTCCATGGAAAATACAGTAAGATTTGTCACAATTTTATTTAAATGCATTTACCAATTTGTTTATTTTTTTAAAAAATTTCATAAAAAATATTTCTTTTCAAAGTAAAACCTTATTGCATCAACTAGTTGTTGACCAAGTGGGTCATGGAAGTTAAGAACCCGCAATTTAAATTGGCGACCAACAACATCATAATGGTAATGTAAAAAATGAATATTTCATTCAAAATAAGCAAAATAATAAATAAATGAAAAATAAATAAATGAATATGGATAAAAAAGATAATAAATGGAAATCACAAAAAATAAATGTTTGTATACTTTAAGACTGGAAAAATATAGTTAAAAATATTACTTTATTGCTGTTAGTAAAAATATTGTAAATTTCTTAATTAATAAATATAATATGATAAAATTTTTGTGCAATAAATAATGTAATAACATTAATTAATTAGTAAAATATTGTTAAGCTTTTCAAACATTTATATTTTATCTTAAATGGGTTTGGCAGAACAACTGAGGAACATGCACCTTAATTATTTCCTTAGAAATTTACTTTTTTGCTTATTTCCGAAGTGCAAAAGAAAAAAGAAAAATCCTTCTGCATAAACCTTCTTCAAAACGTTTTTATCCGTTTTAAACGTATTTATACGTTTAATTTCGGACATTTATTTACAGTAATAAATATTTACAGCAATAGTAGTTACAATGAAAGAATATTTCAAATTTGATATAAAATAGAATTCTTTTTTCTCTAAATTTATAACTTATTCAATACATTCTATTTATTGTGGATTAAATTATTGCTAAGAGACTTTGTGATTATTTCAATCAGCATTTTTTAAACTTTTTTGTAGCAGAATTTTAACAATCTTCATTGCAGATTCAGACTCAAAAGCAGGGTTAGAAGAATTAAACACAAAAGAAAAATCAGTAACAGAGGGAGAAAAATTAAAAGAAACCAGAAAAGAATCAGGAGAAGATTCAATAAATTTCGGAGATAAATCAGAAAACTTAAAGGAAGAACAAAAAGACACAGAGGGAGGTTTAAAAGATTCAGACGGAAAAATTAAAAATTCAGAAGGAGGTTTGAAAGATTCAAAAGGAGATTTAAAAGATTCAAAAGAAGGATTACAAGATTCAAAAGGAGATTTAAAAGATACAGGAGGATTGAAAGATTCTGAAGGAGGATTGAAAGATTCTGAAGGAGGATTAAAAGATTCAGAAGGAGGATTACAAGATTCAAAAGGAGATTTAAAAGATTCAAAAGGAGACTTAAAAGATTCAGAAGGAGGGTTGAAAGATTCTGAAGGAGGATTAAAAGATTCAGAAGGTGGTTTAAAAGATTCAGAAGGAGGTTCAAAGGATTTAGAAAAAGGATTAAAAGATTCTGAAGGAGGATTAAAAGATTCAAAAGGAGATTCAAAAGATACCGAAGGAGGACTAAAAGATTCAGAAGGAGGTTTAAAAGATTCAGAAGGAGGTTTAAAAGATTCAGAAGGTGGTTTAAAAGATTCAGAAGGAGGTTTAAAAAATTCAGAAGGAGGTTTAAAAAATTCAGAAGGAGGTTTAAAAGATTCTGAAGGAGGATTAAAAGATTCTGAAGGAGGATTAAAAGATTCAGAAGAGGAATTAAAAGATTCAAAAGGAGATTTAAAAAATTCAGAAGGGGATTTAAAAGATTCAGAAAAAAGATTGAAAGGGTCAGAAGGCACAGAAGATGGAATAGAAAATTCTCAAAGAGGATTAGAAGAGCCAGGTAAAGGATTAGGAGAGTCAATTAATCAATCTGGAATGGAACAAAAATCTGGATTAGAAGAGCAAAACAGCCAGAAAGGTATGTTTGCGAAGAATTTATTGTATTTTTGATAACATCAAATTTATATTCCTAATTTTATTGTTTAAGTTAGGCAGGTTGCTGAACTCTTTATATAGTATGCGTGTGGGGATCTATTTAATAATTCATTTGATGGACATCATACTTCGATTGGTACATTGATTTTAATTAAACTATTAAAAATTTTAACCAAGTTTATTATCTTACAAAGGTAGATTGCAAAGAGACAATTATATTCAAGCAATTATATTCAAGATACTTATATTCAAAACATTATGTTTCGTAAGAACTACTGAAACAAATAATTGTTCAATAATAACCATCTCTGACTTATTGATGTTAATAGGACGATGGGAATTTTCGGAAAAAATAGTGTTAGCTCTTGCTATTTATCAAAAATTTATCCTGTCATGATTTTGACAAGTAGAGAAAACGGCACAAATAATACTAGAATCAAGACAATTAAATCTTACATCACTAAGCCGATCACGCCACATTTCTTTATTTATTTAAATTTTGTGTAAATTTAAACACAAAAAAGAATTAAACTAAAAATTAAAAAAGCAGTTTAATCCATACTAATAGAATTACTTCAATTTTACAAAGCTTGGTTTTAAACGAATCATATTTAAAAAAAAAATTTAAAAAAAAGGGGAAAAAAAGATTTTTTAAAATTTTTTTTAAAGGAATCTTAAGTAAACCATTTTAACATATTCTGTACAAAATTATAAGAAACTAGGAGGCTCCGCCCCCTGTTCGCTTACGCTCGCCAACCCCCGAGAATCGCTACGCAATCCTATGTAGTTCACGCCGTGAACCATGGCTCGCTGCGCTCGCTCGGCAATGAACACAATGTTCTAGCACAAAGAAATAGTATATTATCATCAAAGACATAGTATTTTATCATCAAAGACATAGTATTGTACTTATGTAGAAGAATTCTATCAATGTTCTTATTGGCTTTTAAAAAAGTATATTAGCTATTTAGATTGTACATGGTGAAAAAATCAAAACATTAGCTAAATAAGAAACATATTAGTAAAATAAATTATCAAATATTGCTTCACTAATATTCTGCATTTTAAAGCGTGAAAATTCAATGCATAAATAAACGCGAAATATAAAAAAATTCAATGCATTCAATACAAACACTTA